GCTATTAGATTTGTCAATTGGATATCAATCATAATATCAAGACTGTTGTCACCATCTGGCAGAGATTCATCAACAACGGAGCAGTATGAACAGTTCTAGACCTTTTCCCTTATCATTTAGTATTTTTTTAAAAATCATGTAAAAATTGTATCCTGTCTAAATAATTTTTTTGAAATCAGAAAATAATGCACCGACACAATGAACTTCGCAAATGAAAGGACTTCTTGTTGTTAATCCTAATTGTTCAAAAACTTGTTCATGAAAGTTAGTTTTTCTCGCAAACAGAACCAAATTAGAGTGTCTCTGTCATACGCCAGTATACTGGCGATTTGTATATTAGGGATAAATTTATTCACCAGTATAACCAACTGTCTTCAAAGACAATATAAACTACAGCATACCTTATAATTTGCAGATGTTCACTACAGAAATAATAGCTGTTTTCAGTGCTTTTGAAATAGTACATGGCAACCCCAACCCCCCCCCCCCCCCTTTTCCCTCCCCACCCCTTTTTTTTCCTTTTTCCAACAACTGACAGTTTGAACAGACTCAGCTATCCATGCTCTAAAAACTCACAAAAATGGTTGTATGGATATCTGCACATGTGGGAAATGGATACCTGCACATGTGGGAATGGATACCTGCACATGTGGAAATGGATACCTGCACATGTGGGAATGGATACCTGCACATGTGGGAATGGAAACCTGCACATGTGGGAATGGATACCTGCAAATGTGGGAATGGATAGAAAAGAAATTGCAGATAGGGAGAAAAAAAAAAAAGAGAGATCCAGTAAAAACACTGTTCATGTAACTATGAGAACAGGGGACATCAGACCACTGGTTAAAAAATGTAAATCAGAGGAATGGTTCTTAAATTGGGGCCAAACTCTGAAGGGTAGACATTCTTATAAGTTATTGAATGCTCCTTACAGACAAAGCAGATAACAGATGAGCCTAACTCTTTTAGGCCCATGAATTTTGACAGACTTGGTCCACATTTATTTCCCTTCACAGAAATGGCAGAGGGGGTGGTATAGAAAAGGAATAGAGAATATAAAATACTTCTAATCACTATAAAAGTATATTTTTGTAAAAAGAAATGAATGTAAATTTTGAATCTGATAAAAAGTTTATGTTTAATTTTATTATAGCTAGTAGAAAAAAAGAAATCAGCAGGTGTTAATTTCACAACAACATTTTACAAATTTTTCACTTACCATGGTTTTGCAGCCACAAGAGTATTGAATATCCAAAATTAAGAACAATACTTCAAAGTTTATTTAATTTTCTAACAAATTCCAAAGTTATGATAAGTTTCTGGGTTAGTTTAGCACTCAGGGGCTCTTAGTTCTCACAGAGTGCTGAGCAAAATTTTAGAGAAAAAATTGGAGAAATATAGGCCATTTTTACTGTTTACTTTGTACAATTATATACAAACTGTAGCTGCAGTGATTTCAATGAAGCTTAGCCATAGTATAGTCCTTCCTTTTGTTTGGAGCACCTTCCTTCTCTTACACCCTAAGAATGGTAGCAATGGAACATTGTCTGTGTAAACTCATCAGAATCGATAGATTCCCAACAGCTGATCGTTCAGCTGTCGCTGGTGAAAATTCACCGTCCTAAATCACTTTCTGAAAAAACTAAATTTTCATAATCATTATCAGAATTAAAAACATCTGACTGAAACAATTTCAGCTGATAGCAAATGTGAGTGACCTAGTGACTAATAACAACAACAGAACAGTGAATGTGACCACCCTCCTCAGGTGGAATGCTTGTGACCTCTGACCTGGTTAGCTGTTTAGTTAAAAACTACAGGTGGCATACCAAAGCTGTCTTCCTGATGAGTTACTTCTGCCTTCCTGATGAGTTACTTCTGCCTTCCTGATGAGTGACTTCTGTCTTCCTGATAAGTGACTTCTGTCTTCCTGATGAGTGACTTCTGTCTTCCTGATGAGTGACTTCTGTCTTCCTGATGAGTGACTTCTGTCTTCCTGGGTGACTTCTGTCTTCCTGATGAGTGACTTCTGTCTTCCTGATGAGTGACTTCTGTCTTCCTGATCAATGACTTCTGTCTTCTTGATGAGTGACTTCTGTCTTCCTGATAAGTGACTTCTGTCTTCCTGATGAGTGACTTCTGTCTTCTTGATGAGTGACTTCTGTCTTCCTGATGAGTGACTTATGTCTTCCTGATGAGTGACTTCTGTCTTCCTGATGAGTGACTTCTGTCTTCCTGATGAGTGACATGTCTTCCTGATGAGTGACTTATGTCTTCCTGATGAGTGACTTCTGTCTTCCTGATGAGTGACTTCTGTCTTCCTGATGAGTGACTTCTGTCTTCCTGATGAGTGACTTATGTCTTCCTGATGAGTGACTTCTATCTTCCTGATGAGTGACTTCTATCTTCCTGATGAGTGACTTATGTCTTCCTGATGAGTGACTTCTGTCTTCCTGATGAGTGACTTCTGTCTTCCTGATGAGTGACTTCTGTCTTCTTGATGAGTGACATGTCTTCCTGGTCAGTGACTTATGTCTTCCTGATCAGTGACTCAAGTCATCTGGCACCAGGCCACTCAGTATTAGCCTTTTGGTGACCTCATAACTTGGTTTTATAGAAGAATGATCACTACACCAGAGTCTACATACTGAGAAAACTTGAAATTAACATAACTAGTATAGTCTTTGAACTCGAACCCACAGGGTCATAGAAATAAAGTCTGATTAAAAAAAAAAAAACATGAAGGGAGCAAGAGAGGGAAGTTAAAACAACAGAGAGGACATGGGGTAGCTAGCTGCATGCAGTAGGAAAAGATAAGATGATGTGGTGTGAGTTGGTTGAGGACTAACGCTCCATTAGGGTGTAAAAAGGCAGAATAAGATCCATACATCATATGTAACCAAGGTTTTCTAGGAAGTATTTGAACGTGGCTTTTGAAAACTTGAGATTGAAAAACGTACACCATGTGCAATCCTCATCATGTGCCCTGTGGACTGGCATAGACGTTCATGCATCTGCACAGTTCTTGGTTCCTTGTTCTCTGATCAGTTCCACTGATGATATCGCTATTTACTCTGGCATTCCAAGGAATTCTTAACATTTGTCTGAGGAACCACATCTTTGTCGTCTAAAAGTTCTTTCTGATTTGTGTATTGACATTCCATGATTCACTATCATACAGAATTATAGGTTCAACAAAATATTTTAGTACTCTCTTTCAGACATCCAAAGAGAGGGACCTGTTGCACAAATTGTTCTTCACTCTGTGAAATGCAGCCTATTCTGCTCTTAATTTCTGACACACTTCTTCCAACTGATGTTATTACTGTACCTAAATATTAGAATTACTGGGCTGTAGCCTAATGTGGTTTAAAAAAAATATTTTTGTTGTTGTCTCAAACTTTTCAGGCAGCTTGGCTGTTGTTTGCAGGTTTCAGATACACCATCTGTCCATCTCTTCCTCAGTCTTGCTCTCACTTTATGCCCAGAGGTTTGGAAGAAGAAGAAGGGCCAGTGAAAAGTCCATAACTAAGTGATAAAGCAAAATGATAACACCAGGCTAGTTACAAATATCAGTGATTACATGGTATTTGGGGTGTCTGGGAAGTATAATAATAATATGCAACATTACTGACTGAAGTGAAAAAAAAAATAAACATGTTATACAATAAAAGGATATTTGACCCACTGCATTAAATCTGTACACATGCTTATCAGTGACAGTTCAGATGAGGCTAATCTACACTGATAGTTTCTGGATGAGAACACAAAACTATTTTGTCATTAACAGCAAACTCTGCAGGAAAGTGCAGGAAGTCAGCAGTACCTTCTCTATAACTACTAACTAGCAGCGTTAGGATGGAGGTGATGGCAGTGACATGAGCTCCTTCTGACTGGAATCACAGGCCTGTTCCCATTTTTGTGTGCTGAAGAATTCTATGAGCCTGCTCCGGCAGGTTGAAGCAGGCTGACTACACACACAGTGGATGGAGTCATTTCAAAACTCTGCTGTGTGTCAAGTTACCTTTATCTTTTTCTCAGGGTATGCGGGTGGTGTTGGCAATAAAAGCGCTAATGGATTGGCCAGCTGCCTTGGGTGCAGATGGCCGATCTATGGATCACACTGACATTGCTATTGCCCTTAAAAGAAAAGACGATCGGATGAGCAGTGTGTTCGTATTGCTGCTAAGTATGTGAGAATTATGAGTAAATGTCAGCATACAGCCAGAGCATGAGAGGCACACCGAACGTACAAGAAGTCTTCTCTGCCAGCATACAGCTGACACTATTAACCTCAGGACACTGATGTATATATTGAAGAGGGGATGTGAGTATCTAGGGATGTGTCTGGAGTGTCATGACTATGGCCCAACTCAAAACGCAAACCTATAACAGTGGAGCATGTGGTACAGACAGAAGGTTTCATAGTACAGCATGGACTTTAAGAAGCAGAAAAAGTAGTTGTCCTCATTTCTACGTAATAAGAGAATTTACCAACAAAAGAGAAAATTAATCCTTACATACAACATGCTTGTTACCAAGGCAGGGGCTCATTATCCCCCAGCCCCTCCCCCAGCCCAATGGGGCCTCTGAACACCTACAGGAGTTAAAAAAAACCCAAGTGGAGTTTTTCAGACACTACAGGCTGAGGGGCATACGGGGGACCAAGTCCAGACTATAAGTCCGGATATCTTAGTTTAGTTCCAGTGGGGATGGTAGGTCAGCTAACTAAAGAATGATTAACTGAGTTAAGTTGAGAACCAACATCACAACACTCAGGGCATTCCCATCAGCACTCCGTCTCTACCTGCAGCATTCATCTTCAGTGCCAGTGCTGATGGACCAGTAGCAGTCTGATTCTTTGTCCTCTGAGAGCTGAGTATAGGCCATATCCTGTGGTCATTCCCTGCTGCAGCCAATATAAGGAGCAGGTTTCTATCTACACTTTCCTTTTTTCCTGTTTGCCATAGGAGCAGTGACTGTAGAACCAGGACGTGATGTCACAGCCCTCTGGACAGTTTGGCACATTCTGCGACACACCCCTGTGGGTAAGTATTTGTTCTATCAGTGCTTGTCATTGTGATTATTAATGATATAATTTAATATGAGTAGACTTGGAGCAGCTGTCCAAAGAGCAACTGTTGACCTAACAGTTGAGACGCTGGGTTTTTATGAAGGAGATCTAGATTTGAATGCTCAGTAAGGTCATAAAATTTATTTTTCTTTCGGGTTCAAAAATAAAATTGTAACCTGCACAGTCTATGGCCATAGCACTAACCATGCGGTCCTCATGCTCAGAGACCCCCTTGCCTTTATCACAAAAGTGGTAAATACAGGCAGCAGTTGAACTTTTTTAGTCGGTGTCCTTTTAGGCCGACCAAGAAAATGGTGGAAAGATAATATACACAACCTACAACCACTTGGATTGCCAGCTCAAAAGAGAAGATCAGTCACTGAAGTTAATGGAGGCGGTTGATATCTTTAGCAGTAAAGCTCAAGGGCTCGGATCACTAAAGAATAAATATATCAATAACTATTCTAGTAAGATTATCTCTATGACTGTGCTGATCCAATTACCGGTACAGGAATGCACATGTGAGTCCTGCAATCCCACTCAGTCAAGGAAAAATCAGAGCTTTTAAACTGAAATGCTACAGAAAAACTCTTAGAATACCGTGGGCTAAGATAAAGAAAAACATCATCCTGTGTGATCCTGAATGCCCAGGATAACTGGTTCATAAACAGCATCTTGCTTGACCTAAACCTCAAGGATAACTGGCTCATAAACAGCATCCTGCATGACTTGAATGAACATCAAGAATAACTGGTTCATATCCAGCATTCTCTCCCAAAAGCTGAGGTGTTTTGAATATTTCACACATCATAGTGGTCTGGAGAGAAATGAAATAGCGGGTGCCATATAGAGAGCCACGTTCTGTAAAAAACATGCTGATTGTTTAATTGACTTATACTGTAAAGAACATGCTGAATGTTTTATTGATTTATACTGTAAAGAACATGCTGATTGTTTGATTGATTGATACTGTAAAGAACATGCTGATTGTTTGATTGGTTGATACTGTAAAGAAAATGCTGAGTGATTGATTGATATTACCTTTTGTTTGTAGCTAATGATCCATAGCGGTTGTCTGTGACAAAGTCGTCAGTTTATTTGCCTCTCGCTCTGAAGATCATGGATTCATTTCACGAGTGTGTTGCTCAGTTCATGAGTTCAGTTTTTACAGAGATCCCTGGATATTGTCGCCGGAGCTATAGAGTTTGTGCATTGCGTGATGCTCTTGACCGACAGTTAGCTGTTCTGCTGAGAGACTTAGTTATATGCGATACCCGATGCAATGGAGTTAATCCTATTGGCTTTAATTTTGACCTTTTACCTCTAAATAAGAATGCACAGTCATTGATTTGTGTTTAAACATAGCTAATGGTAACACACAAAGAAGTTAGCACAGACAGTAGATCATAGACACATTTTCATTAACACTTTCAGTAACTCACTCTTTTACTTGAATTTTTTTCTGTACAAAATTAATTGTTACTGCAAACTAATAACAGTTGCATCTAAATAAGTTAAAATGGTAACTATATAGAGTTGTTTATGTTGATTTGATGTTATATCCTGAGATTAATTGCTATAAAGTCATAAATAAGACAAACAGAGTTCATAAAGGATTATCATGTAAAGTGAACCATAAATGCTTGCAAGTTTTAAGGTACTGTGTGAGTTAATAAGAAAGCCAATAAAAAGTTAAATGCAAAAGTAAAGGAAATTTGATTACCATTTTGTTTAATCTTTATAGACAGATTGTTCGAGAGCTGAACTTTGACCTGTATTTTTCCTGGCCAGGATCTAGATTTGACCTGGCATGGCAGCTGGCCACAGTTCACTGAGTGCTTCCAGTCAACCATCTTGGTATGGGTTCCTTGTGGATGGTTGTGGGTGAGTGCCCCGTTCTACACGTGGTACCTGGCCCACTTACCCCGTCCCACCCACAGGCGGAGACCATGCAGCTGGCTTTTGACTCTCAAGCTGGTAATTGTTGCACTAACACATGCACAACCCACACATACTATACTTCATATGCTATAATTCATATACTGTAATTCATACACTATACTACATATGGTATACTTCATATGCTATAATTCATATACTGTAATTCATACACTATACTACATATGGTATACTTCATATGCTATAATTCATATACTGTAATTCATACACTATACTACATATGGTATACTTCATATGCTATAATTCATATACTGTAATTCATACACTATACTACATATGGTATATTTCATATGCTATAATTCATATGCTGTAATTCATATACTATACTACATATGGTATACTTCATATGCTATAATTTGTAAACTTCAATTCATGTACTATACTTCATATGTTGTAATTTATATGCTGTACTTCAAATACAATACTTCATATGCTATACTTCATATTCTATACTAAATATACCATACTTCATATACTTTAATTCATGCACTATACTTCATATTCTGTAATTCATATGCTGTACTTCAAATACTAAACTTTTTATGCTATACTTTTTATTCTATACTTCCTGTATTATACTTCATATACTATAATTCATATACTATACTGCATTTTTCTACTTCATATGCTATAGTTTATATGTTGTAATTCATATGCTATAGTTCATATATAGTTCATATGCTATACTTCATATATTATACTTCATATGCTATACTTTTTCTTCTTCTTTTTCCTCTTCTTCTGTTGTCTCACTGATATCAGGTTGTAGCCCAGTGTCGTGGTTTTTCTGTATTTGTCTTTCACGTCTCTGGATGCTTGGTGATGGATTCATTTATCTTTTTGTAGTTTTCTGCTACACCATTATCCCTCTCTTTCTCGGTTTGCCTCTCACCTTCTTCCCAAGTATTCTGCTTTATAAAGTCTCATATGCAGTTTGGTCTGGCTGCATTTTCACCAGATGGTTGAAACCAGAATCCCAGATTTGTGAAGTTTGATTGGAATGGGACTCTCTTTCAAAACAATAACATCTCCTTCTCCTACCTTCTCAGCACAATCTTCCAAACAATAACATCTCCTTCTCCTCCCTTCTCCTGGTGGGCACATGGCTCTTCTCAGGATAATAAAGTGGGGTTAAATTTTCATTTATTTCATCTGATTGCTTTTGTATTTAGGTATTTTATTATTAAGCAGGGTTTAAATTATTTTACACAAGCCCCAGTAATTAATAATATGCCAATAACAATAGGATTTCTTTCATAGGCACAGAATTAATCGTATCCCTTTCTTTTTTTTGGGAAAATTTGTTTGACATACATTCTGTTCGAAATACATCCTGTTTGGTATAGGTCCTGTTTGGTATAGGTCTTGTTTGGTATACAACCTGTTTGGTATATGTCCTGTTTGGTATACGTCCTGTTTGGTATATATCCAAGGATCTTGAAAGGATTAAAGGGCACATACCGAGGTACCACCACACTCTACTGCACTTGTTCAGTTGTGTTGTAATCTAGTACATGATTTGGACGGCACACTACGCTCAGAGGAAAGCAAGACAGACATACAACCAGACTACGACTGGCACCATCAGTATTGGAACTTTGTGCTGGCTGCTGAGGATGGGGACGGAGCTCATATGGCTATGCCCCGAGTGCTGTGATGTCAATTTTTGACTCAACTATAGTACATGATATAGGCTTCCTGTGCTTGTCTTCCTCAGATCTGTCTCAGTCTCACCATCGTCCTGTCATCTGTCAGCTGCTTCAATGTCATCAGCAATAAAGTGCCTGACATTGACGACATGGTCACAGCTGAAGTGTTTGCTCCCCTCCTCCTCACAGTCACATTGGTAAGTATCCAGTGGCATCATCATCATCACCATCATCATCATCATCATCATCATCATCACCATCATCATCATCATCGTGTGCTGTGCCAGTAAGTATAGATAGTTTCTTTTCACCATCTCACACCCACATTGATACCAGACCGCATCTACTTTGCTTCCTCATTAGTATATTTCATGCTAAGATGTTGTCATCATTGCTAGTTACAAGTATTTATTCTCTGCCTGGTATTTAAGATATGTGTTGGAAATGTAAATTATGTCTGCGATTGGCAAGTTCAGTGCAACGTATGTAAGATTACTTTGCAGTATGCAAATTCGATATGGGGTGTGCAAGTGTATCATGGAGTATGTCAATTCAGTTTGGTGTATGTAGGTGTTTAGTGTGAGGTATGTACGTTCAGTATGGGTTAAGTATGTTTACTGCATGCTATGTTTTGTGTGTTAAAATTGAGAGAATCGACTTCATTGGACTAGATTTTATTACACATGGCTTGGTCTCTCTCTTGCTCTCTCTCTCTTTATAATGGCTAGCTGCCTTATAAGAGCATCACACAAAGCACAAACACTGTAGCTCTGGCTACAATCCCCAGGGGTCTCCATAAAAATTACACTCATGAACCAAATAACGCATCCATGAAATGAACCTTCAGAGCATTTTATTGCAGGGTTTGTACATTTTTTATGGAGCATGTCAAGTGAAACGAGAGGTATGTAAGTAATCTTGAAAGTGAAAGTTTTTGTGACAATCTACAACCTCTTGCTCAGGTGCTTTTATTCTTGATGTCAGTTCACCTTGTTCATAATTTTACTTCTCTTGCTCATAATTTTACTCACCATGTTCATGATTTCACTCCATTTATTTGTAACTTCACTCCCCTTGTTTTTTATTTAATTCCCCTTGTTCATGATTTACTTCCCTTGTTCATGACTTCACTCCTCTTATTTATAATTTCATTCCCCTTGTTCAGTATTTACTTCCCTTGTTCATGATTTGACTCCTCTTGTTCATGATTTCACTCCCCTTGTTCGTGACTTAATTGCCCTTGTTCATGATTTACTTCCCTTGTTCATGGTTTTTACTCCTCTTGTTTATGATTTAATTCCCATTGTTCATAATTTACTTCCCTTGTTCATAATTTCACTCCCTTGTTCATGATTTCATTCCCCTTGTTTATGATTTACTTTCCTTGTTCATGATTTCACTCTCAATGTTCATGATTCTGGTTTCCCTTCAGTGCCTTGCTACAGCCTTTACAGTTGCAGAGAGAAGGAAGAGATTAGTTACCTCAGGGGTCCAGTTTGTCTTCTGGCTGCTTCTGTCTGTCTGCAGCCTAATTGTCTTATATACAGACATTCAGCTGAAGGTGAGCATTCTCTTGTTTAATATTTAAAAACAAAACAAAAATAAAAACAAATATAATATTGTAGTAATTTGGGCATATAGAGAGAATGGCAGATAACAGAGATAAAAACTGCGTACAAAAAAGTGCTGAATAGAAATAGACCATATGGTAGCCCAAGAAGATGATGGAGCGATACATGCTGAGCTATAAACACTTAAGAGTTGCCAACTAGAAAGAGACAGAGAGAAAGCCAGTCACAGAAATGAATTGAGGTGGGTGATTTCCGCAGCATTGCACCTCAAGGGCTCAGAATGTTTACTGTTTGTATGATATTTGCCTATTGCAAACATTTGACAGCTTTTAGTTGTGATGCAGAATCAACATCAGTACACTTTGTGCAAGCCCATGAATGCTTAGTCTCTCCCTGCAGAAGTTGAAGGGTGTAAATGTGGACTGTGCATGTAAGAACTGGTTAGTGATACATCAGAACCATCTGTGACTGCTAGTTCATGCAAATGTTTAAATTTACTGGTAAAACGTTGGTATGGGGGTCATTAGTTTTTGTTTTACATTACTTTTGTTATTAGAAAAATGAATGTAAACTACGACTGACAGAAACATGGCTCATCTGGATACACGCATACATTTGAAGTCTTTAGCAATAAACAATTAGAAGATAAAGCTTCTTCTAGTCCTGTTCAGCCTTTCAGAATTAGGGTTTGAAGAGGCATAAAGTGCAAGCTTTGATGTGTACTTTGTAGGTGTTAGTATTTAGGGCCTCGGATATTTCATCTATCTATTGCTTGCTTGGTCGGCCTCTAGGTGCTTCCATTATGTCTAACTGACAGGGCTCTCCTTGATGCATTGTCTGCTGATAGACACATATCCTAATCATTTGATCTGTTGTCTCTTGAAACCTGTTTCCTGAAATCGTTATTTCTGATCATGTTTACCTGAGCTGACATTGTGAAGTTTTGTGTTTGAGTGTTTGTTGTTGTTCCCTGAACAGAATCATTGATGGCAATGTTTACTTCCATCTGCCTGTGCCATTGGGAAAAGATCAGAGGACTTATGGGTATGCTTTATATGCACTGAAAATGATCCTGTAATAAACAATGAGTAATGTATTTTTTATTCTAATGAACTTTCTAGTCATGTTTTCTTCTTCTTCTTCTTGTGATTGCATCCCACATTTACAAGGACAGATGTGTTCTGATGATAAAATTGACAATTAAAAAAAATAATTCCTTAGTTCCATACAACTTTGAGTATAAGTAAAAGTAAAGTAAAGATCCCTTTTCACGCCTTGCGGCGCATCGGGCATATGGACAGAGCGTCCCATATTTTTACAGACCATCAGCACTCGGTGGGTAATGTGGTCAGCATTATGCCGGCTGTCTTTACTTTCCCAGGACAGCCCATCCTGGTACCCATTTTAGGCAGTGGGTTTCGATCGCGGTATGCTGGCTTACGAGTCGGACTCGCAACGCCTTAGCCTTTGAGTATAGTGTTGACTTATTGGGAAGTATTCCTTTCTTAATGGGCTTGCAAGGGACAGTCTTTCAGGACATGTTCTGCCATTTGTCCTCACAGCGCACATGGTGAACTACTCAGATGAAATACACACTTATGCTTGTTGAGCTGGGTATGCCTTATGTTGAGGCATGAAATGAAGGTCTCGCCAAATAAGTGGTTGTCACCTTTTGTGTAGTTATAGGTGAACATGCTGTCATGATTTCAGTTGATTTGTTTGTATCGTCAACACTACAACAGTAATCTTTTTTAATTTAATGAATTGTTTCTGTTCCGTTTCAGGTCTATGATTCTGATGTGTTTTCATTTTCCATATTCAGCATTCAGTATTCATTATACCTTGTAGAGTTATTACTTCATTGTTTTCCCGAGAAACCCATGGAGACATCGACAACAGACAAGGTAGATTGTTGTGAAAGTTTCATGTTACTGTCCTTCAGTTTCATTTTACTGTGGGACAGTTTCATTTTATATGCTACAATCTCATGTTTTTATGGTGCAGTCTTGTGTTACTGTGGTACAGTCTCACCTCTGTGCATGCTGTTATGCTGTGTGTGTGTTGTTCTTCCATCACGTTTGATGAAGACCGCTTTTCATCTATAGTAGTAATGATTATGAGTACAAATGTGGCTGATTAGTCCAATATGAGCCCGGAAAGTTCTTGAGTAGTGCGAACAACAGGTGGAAGCTGCAGTATGTGTTGGATTAGCTATACAGTTCTTTCTAGTCTGCCTCCGTTCTCTGCCTGTGCAACCTCCGCTGCCTAGAAGGCTGATGCACCAGGCCTGAGGGATGTGCCCAATCCAGAACGGTCTTGTGCAGCAGCCTCCCACGTCGCTGAGTTGATGCCAAAAGAATTTAACTGGATGAAAGTGACTTGCCCAAGGACTTGGATTAAAGTGAGGAAGAGTTGCGCAATTTGTCAACTTCACTCTCTCGCCGGTGTCCATCTTGATCCAACGGTAGGACAATGTAAAGATGATTGGAAATGGACCTAGGTGCAGTGGATGACCAAAGCATTTTAAGTGCCCTGCTTTGCTTGAAACTCTCCACAGAGCCTGCATGCTGGTAATCGCCTTTTTGTCCATTGAACCAAAAAGAGGTTTCAGTCCGCTGAATCCAGTCTTTGCATGCAGGGTAGGCATATCCCAATCACCGAGTGGTTTAGAACCAGGTCGGCTACCCTCCTGGTTTAGCCAGCCCATCAAAGCTGTTGCCGGGGGGTGCCCGCTGTCGCATGCTGAAATCTGCTGGGAGCCACAGGAGAGAGCTGAGCGCCAGACCTAGCCCAGCGGTGGTGAACTGCCCTAAGAAGGACATGACGGTCACCTTGGCATGCTGTTATAATACTCCACTAAATATAGAATGAGATGTCTTTTATGTGTGTAAGTGTGGATTTCAAAAGTGCACATCTTTGTGATGCCCCAGGAAAGACAAGCCTTTACTGATCTTTCTTGTGTGTCATCTGATTCATTAAACCTTGCTTTTTTGTTTCTTTAGCAACAGAGTCCAGAAATTGCTGCCTCCTTTCCATCACGCCTCACCTTTTGGTGGCTGAACCCGTAAGTTATAAACTCATTGTTCCGTCAGACTAGACATTTGTTCATTCCCTTACTGTTCACATTACTACACTGTTCACATTACTAAACTGTTCACATTACTATACTGTGTCTGACACAAGCACACTTGTTATTTGTGCCAGGTGTACTCACACTTCCATGAACATGTAAACGCCGATGACCCACTTCCAGTTTTAAAATAATGTTTATTTAAGAACTCATGATAATTGCAAAGTTAGTATGGCTTCCACACAATGTTATCGACTACTGAGTAGCCACAGATTTTATTCTTATGGTTCACGAGCACACTAATCTCAGGTAGTCACTGGCTAAATACATCAACAGTACGCTGGTATAGCTGATCACAAACTCATCCTCGCAATATCAACAAAGTCATGAGAGACTAGCTGATGCCTCTGTAGCTATAATTACGTATCCTCCTGGCTACTACACTTAACTTTATAATCCGGCTATACAACAGAAACACTTGCCACCAGTATGAATAACCAATACTGTTTTGTTCACAGTTTTAAATCCAGTCCATTCCAAGTGAAAAACAATTCCCACCTTTTAAAAGGGCTCCAAACAAACACATCCGTTCACTCGACTGACCAACTACTAACTGCCGTGTGTCGCTCTACCTGTTTGTCCAGTCCCCCTGTCACCTTTCCATTCAGTTACCTGTATTGCCATGCGAGTCTACACACAACCCGCCTGACCAGTAATTGACCTGTCTGCTGTTATGAGTCAGTCTAGTCGTTGTTTGTCTTTCTCTCACAGTGTGTGGTCAAGTTTACTCATGACAGTTCACATTACTACACTGTTCACAGTTAATAACAGTAACATCAAAAGAGAAAACAAACTGAGGAACCTGGGTATCATTTTCTATAGAAGCTTGTCCTTCAGGGATCATGTGGATGCAGTTGCAGTGGGAAAAAAAAGACTCAGTGCTCCCAAGGTTTTAGCAGCAATAGACATGGAAAAAAGAATGCTGTTCACAATGTTCTAGCAGGCGATACTGTCGGTGATGGATTATGGACTTGGAATGCTGCATGAAGCCCTGGGTAGAGCTAGGGATCACAGACTGAAAGGAGGAAGGTCTTGGATGGCGCAAGCTGAAGAAACAATTGGACATGTGTGCAGGCTTGATAATTTTGAGCAAGGAGAAGGGTGGGTCAAGGTGTCCGAACAAGTTTCAGACTTGTGTAGGGTTCTAATCATGTTAGGTCGTGAGTGCAGAGACTGGCCAGCTGGTGCTGCAGAATCAGAAGTTCAACAAATGATTCATGGCAATTCCTGCCCAGGTGATGTAATTGTCTGTACAGATAGCTCTGTATTGAGGGGCAGATGAAATGCAATGGGGTTTCGTAGCAAATGAGAATGGATGTCACCTAGTGCAGCAAAGCCTTGCATATCATATAACAATGTCTAGTTTGAGAAATTTGCTTAGTAACGATTACAAAAACCCATGTAATTCACGCCCACATGTCCACTGGACACGGTAAACAACATTTGAGACTGCTTTTCATATACCCGAGTACGATATTTTATTTACAAACTAAAACGGATAACTGTGCGTTGTTTTTTTTAACAGTACAATAGATGAAGAAAGCATTACTGTAGAAAATTTGATATCAGTTTTGCACGCAAAAGAAATTGGGTGGATTTTATTTTGCCAAAAAAAAAAAAAAAATGAATGTTACTTGTTTTATCTGTATTGATATCCTATCACAGAGGTCTGACCCATTTGTGTTCTGTCCGCCGATGCAGCAGCCAACTCAGTGATTCCATGCCCTCTGTACCCAGTAGGAATTCATTGGCATATCTGCTTTCTTTGCCTGACAGCTGGTTTCTGAATGGTTGACCTCATTTAAAAACAGTCTTCAACAGGTGGTTCATTGTCTCTTACTTCCTTGTCTTAGTGTCTCTGGAACACAGCACATTTAGTATGTCAATTCTGACCTTATTTCTTCTTCCACTAACTACTGCAGATACAGCCAGTATGTGGGTTCTTTCATTCCCTTTCACCCTGTCATATCCTGGTGTGTACAGCCAGGATACTTTCTTGAGGTGAGGCTTCTGAATGCTCTCAGTGCTTTTAGTTTGAGTTTTCCAGTTAGATCTTCTTAAGCATGCTCACCAAGTCTGTGACTATCATTGCATGTGTTGCTGTTCTGTGACTATCATTGCATGTGTTGCTGTTCTGTGACTATCATTGCATGTGTTGCTGTTCTGTGTCTATCATTGCATGTGTTGCTGTTCTGTTTCCACCAGCTATGCAAGTGCAACTGTGATTTCTCCATCATCATACTGCAAGTTGGTGGAATGAATGCCTATCCTCTTCTACTGTAAAGTCCTCCCATTCACCTGCACTGTGGATGCCCACCCAGTTTACACTCCACAAGTCACTGAGCCATCTGTACAGACAATGACTTACCTGGTAGAGTATGCTCGTAGATGAGGGCCTTTTTTTGAGTCTCAGCAGCTGTACAATACCTGCCTGTCACAACCCTGTGAGTACAGTCATGGGGCGGAATGGACCACACATTAGGGTGTACTGTGTTCAGGTGACACCCCAGGGTTGACACAAAGGTCAGTGGCACTGCCCAGCTTGATTATTATCTCTGTGTGCTCTTGCAATTTTTCTAGTGTTTCTCTACATTCAGCTTGAACCAGACATGTTCTACTAACCGTAGTTGGCTAATGGTCTCCTCCGCTTCTGCCATCCAGGACTATCCCTTGTTTAGGCACTTACCTTTGTTCAACCATAGGCAGCTATGCAGATGGTGTTTTTCTATCAGCAGTAACACACAGGTAAGCCCTGGCCTGGGCATCTTGTGACTTAATCAATTCTGTACACCTTCTTACAGTAACGTCTAGCAAACAGGCTGCTGATGCTTGTCTTGTGTCCCACCAGGATCATGTCTCAGGGCTACAGGGAGCCCCTGACAGAAGAGGACATGCCAGACCTTCACCCCAGAGACAAGTGCCAGACTGTGGTGCCAAAGTTTATGTACTACTGGATGAAAGCTCTGGCTTTCTGGAAAACTAGGCAAGTGTTGATGTTTGTTGCCACCAGCAACTGGCGAAATGATTAAGAATCTTGGACTCCTATTCAGTAGACCCAGGTTTGAATTATTAGTTCTCAATGAGGGTTCCAGGGCCCCAATATGGGGGGGGGGGGGGGGGGGTGGGGGTGGGGGGGGGGAAACAAGAATAGACCCATTGTCTCCTAAGACATGTGTTGTAAGAGTCATTTAATTAGGGATCTTTCCTTTGAAGTTGGAGTACATCTGTCTAGAAAGATGCAAGGAAACAACAGTCTGCATACAAATAAGCCAGATCTGTAAAATGGATGTACATGCAAAAACTCGGTTTCTGGAACAAGACTAAAGTCCAGAAGGGGATAAACAATAAGAACTTTCCGCCAGAGCTTACAGCCAGTGAATGTGAAGAAAAAAAAAGAAGAAGAAGAAAAATTATTGGCGAGGTAGTCAATATTTCTGTGTCAGTGGCAAACATTCAATCCTAACCTGCTCAGTTGATGGAATAGGCTGTATGTAGCCATGGGGCCCTATATCCTCAGGCTTAAATACTCCCTCCCCACCACACTAGCCATGGGGCCCTGTATCCTCAGACTTAAATACTCCCTCCCCACCACACTAGCCAAGAGGCCCTATATCCTCGGCCTTAAATACTCCCTCCCCACCACACTAGCCATGGGTCCCTATATCCTCAGGCTTAAATACTCCCTCCCCACCACACTAGCCATGGGGCCCTATATCCTCAGGCTTAAATACTCCCTCCCCACCGCACTAGCCATGGGGCCCTAAATCCTCAGGCTTAAATACTCCCTCCCTACCACACCTCTTAATCCTCAGGCTCATGACTGGCCTCTCCTAGACTGATCATAATGGTCAGAGGAGAATGCCCCTGCCAGGAGTTACCAGGGTATCTGGCCGATGCTCAACACTCAGGGGAAGGATAAGAGGGATGTACAATCAGACGGTTACTGGTATCATCGGAATTGGAACTCTTCGCTTGAGCTGAGGATGTGGACTGAGCAATATGGGAGTGTCCCGAGTGCTGTGATGTGGATTCTTAATTCAACAATCAACATTCAGACTGATTTTGAAGTGGTACTAACAGGCTGTCGAGACAGTGTTTAGTTTGTAAATCACCTGAAGCCTCTGAGTTTTAACGCTTTTAGTCTGGTACACTTGTGTTCTGTTCAACTGAACCCTGAACAGTGTTTTCATAGGCTTTGATTTGAAGCTGTATTTAGGACACAGTCCGGAAGACCTAGTCAGCCCCCTGTCACAAAAGAAACAGACCATTATATTTAGACTGTGCACTGGACCCAACAGATTCTGCAGTCATAAGCACAAGAAATTCAAGACTGGAGATTCAGAACTTGCCCTCAGCCATGATGCAGAGGTTCAAGCCATCAAGATACCAGCAGAGAAACTACTAAATACCGGGTATATTTCACAACCTCTGGTATTCCTGACAAATGCCAAAGCGGTACTTCAGGTACTCCAGTCTAGAAAATTACCAGGTATACACTACTCTCCAAACTAGTCAGCCGGTGTAAGGTAATTATACAGTGGATACCATCACACTGTGGAGTTTCCGAAAATAAAAGAACTGATAAACTAGACACAGAAGGTGCAACTGAAGAACAACCTAAAGTACCAGTCTCTAATCCACGGAAGAAGAGAATAATCAAATCAATCAGAAAGCCACCAAATCAGACATAAGACGATTACCATGTTATGGACAGACCAGAGCAAGTCATTATTCTACGCCTTAGAACAGGGCACAAACAAATTCACAGTGACATGTACACAAAATCAGGCATGTACACATGTGGACTTATACCTGAGACAACAGATCACATCCTCCGAGACTGTTCCAAATATAACATTTCCAGGCAAAACTTCTGGCCAAGAGGGACACTGGAGGAAGCCAAACTTTACAGATCGCTAAATGAGTTACAAAAGACGGTGAAGTTCATACTAGAGATAGTATTGCAGATATAGATAATTTATTTAAAGCGAACAAAAGAAGAAGAAGAAGAAAACTGTGCCCATGTAGACAGACACCCCAGAATACTGAGCATTTTAATGGAGGCCAAGCTGTATGGAAAAGTGCAACGCACGTCGCACCAGAGACTTCAAAGGGGCCTGTGGCTTTATCATCAAAACCACAGGGAGAAGAAACAGAAGAAACTAAATTTTACTTTGAATATTTATTTAGCAAATGTTGGAGTTTTTTGGGGTTTCCCTGAAAGTCATAGATTCATTTCATGGATTGTGCCAGTTCATGCATGTAATGTTTACAGAGATTCCCAGTGATGATCCCTGGAGCTATGGAGCTTATATTTTGTGTGATGCTATAAATGCTGGTAGTCTATTTGGGAGAGAGACCAAGTCATACGGGATAGCCTCAGTGCTGTGAACTTAATCATCTTGCATTTAAACCTTTTCTAATGCCAGACTGTTTGTGTTGGCACTTCTGATATCTACCTTAAGCATTTAATGCTGTGTGTGCTATTGGCTTTATTGAGACTGCAGTCTGTGTCAGTGTTTCCCCACAAGGGACAGTTATAGACATCATATGGTTTTCATTGACTCAGGGATAGAGCAACTATGAGGTGACCAGTTTGTTCCTACAAGGGACAGTGGGAGACACTTTGTGGTTTTCATTGACTCAGAAATAGAGCAACTATGAGGTGACCCATGTGATCCCACAAGGGACAGTTGGAGACATTCTGTATGGTTTTTGTTGACTCAGAAATAGATCGAACGAACGAACAAACAAACAAACTTTATTTTCAAAGGGTTACAAATTAGGCACGCAGGCCTATCTTACATTCGGCCCTTCCAAACTCCCATCTTTCACACAGCAGTTGTATCTCATCAATAAAGCATGTTATGTTCATGTAATAATATGCATATTATGAATATCAAGTCAAAAACAAAAGCATGGGTGGTAAAATATGTGTCCACGCTCGCGTGCGAACACACACACCCACATACACATGCAAACCCATTCACTCACTTACTCACATACACACATACATCCAAATACATACGAGCACACACACACACACACACACACACTTATATATAAATACACACACACTGATACACACTCATACACACAGTCACATGCTCTAAAACACACACGCATACAACCCAGAGGTGACCAATTTGAACATGTAACTGTGATTACCTGATGACCTGTTAAATATTCATGAATTAGGAACTTCAGATATTCTCTAATTTCAGATCCAAGACTCTAGTCCACACAGTATCTTTTGCCGGCCCAGTTCCGGTTGTGTCTAGTGTTAACACCAGCCCAGCAGACAATGAACAGGCATCCTTACTCAGAAACGGTATAATCCACAACGGCAATGGGTATGAGAAGCGCACAGCTAAGGAGACAGCTTCAGGGCCATCTCTGTCCTGGATACTGTTTCAAACGTTCTGGAGAGAGTTCCTGCTGAGCCAGATCTGGAAAGTGTTCAGTGACATCTTAGCCATGTGCAGTCCTCTTATACTGGGGTCAGTTGAATATTGTGCTTTCTGTCAAACTGTTTTGTTTTGTCTGTTTCTGCTACAGACAGTTGGTGGATTATATTGACTGTTTTGTTTTGTCCGTTTCTGCTACAGACAGTTGGTGGATTATATTGACTGTTTTGTTTTGTCTGTTTCTGCTGCAGACAGTTGGTGGATTATATTGACTGTTTTGTTTTGCCCATTTCTGCTACAGACAGTTGGTGGATTATATTGACTGTTTTGTTTTGTCCGTTTCTGCTACAGACAGTTGGTGGATTATATTGACTGTTTTGTTTTGCCCGTTTCTGCTACAGACAGTTGGTGGATTATATTGACTGTTTTGTTTTGTCCGTTTCTGCTACAGACAGTTGGTGGATTATATTGACTGTTTTGTTTTGCCTGTTTCCACTAAGAGAGCTGGTGGATTATGTAATGGATCCGGACTCTGAAAACTGGAATGGATATGTCCTGGCTGTTGGACTCTTCATCTCCACCATCCTTCAGTCGCTCCTCTACCACCAGGTGTTCCACCTATCCACAACTCTAGGACTTCGACTGCGGGCATCTATCATATCTGCTGTCTTTAGAAAGGTCAGATTTTTTATAACCAATTTCAGAACTATGGTGCACCATTTCAATATGTGAATAGGCCGCAGCATTTTAATGGAAAATCATTGATGAAAAAAATAGGGTATGGTTGTTATAGGCCTGCCTGTCACTTGTATAAAATATGCTTATAAATAATTACAACGATTCTTGATTCATCCACCCTATCTCTTGCACTCCTACCAATATTCCAGGGGGTAACTTTTTCTTAAGGCTTGGATTTACGTCAGGTGGGAGTTTTTGTCCATCAAGAATGATACCTGCTTTATGGTACACCACTGTTTTTCTACTCCTGAAGTCAGCACATGCATTGTTTTTTGCCAGCTTTGTTCACTGTCATTTCATCTAGCATATCAAATAATACGGGAGTTTCAAATGCATTTCCAGTTACCCCCAAGCTGTAGTTGTGTCTTCTGTAAAGTCACATGTCTTTGAAGCACAAACAGTTCCTCCTGGTAGGAGTCGGGAAGTCACTGGGTCATTAATGTCCACTGCCGAATGACCTGTTCATTTTGTGCCTTGGTCAACCATGACTGGCTTTAAATTCACTCTGAGGAATTCCCATCTGACATTGCTTACAGGTTCTACTGTTTCACTTTTGGTCCTTCAACAAAATTTAAAAAAAAATGTTATTTACCCTCAAATTATCATCACAGAAACTCTCCGTGACCTATACATGCGTAACTATGGTGTATGATTATTATGTGGAGCTAAGCAAGAGAACTAAAAAGATCAAAGTGTAGCTCTGCTGCACTGGTCTGGCATAGAGGACCGGGATTGGTCACAACCAGGTCCCGGGTAAAACCCAACTGACATGATCCATCTCTAAAAACTCATACCGGGCGGTTTCCCTGCTCAGTCTGGATTACCGACGTAATATTCTCCGGGTAGTCGGGCGGCCAGGCTGGGCATTTGGGAGACCGACCCGGTTAAACCACAAATTTTACTTGAGCCTGGAAATGTTGTTTGTTGTGTGCATTCATTGGCTGTAAACCCTGACAGTAAAACCTGTTTCTTTGTCAATTTCTGGAGTTTAGCTCTGTTCCAGGACATGAGTTTTGTGTGTGCAACCATTTTACAGATTTTGCTAATTTGTATGCATTTTGTTGGTTCCTCGCCTCTCAGGCAGGCGCATTCTGACTTTGAAGGAAGCCCCAGTTAGTCGACTCTTACAGCATTCTTTTTGGGGAGGCAGTAAGTCTGTTAATGTCTTCCCCACAGTGGAACCCAGGAATTCACTTGGGTAGAGCCTTTCCTGGTGGTATTGGGGGGGGGGGGGGGGGGGGGGAACATCTCTCCACAACTTACAGGCTACAACAGTGCTATATCAAAAGGCTATTAAGGACTTTCCCTCATCTTTCTCTGTCTGTCTTTCCATAAATCATTTGAATTCTTGCCAGATTTTCGTTTCTCATAATGTAGTCAGACACGATGACTGTTTCTTTCTGATTTTTGTGATAGGTAATCTTCAGGCCATAACCTTTTTTTTTTAAAACATGAATTACTTATGTTACTTGTCCAAGTAACTTCTCTATAAAAACACATCTCTGAGTTCTCAAGAAATATTTTGGCTTGTTTACTAATATTTCACAGACGTATGTGAAAGCTAGTTTCATGAAACATGCAGTAATGCTCTTTTTTTTTTTTTAACCTCCAATGACAGGGTTTTGTTGCTTGTCCTGTTCTGTTCTTGATCTCTGGGACACATCTTCCATCACACATGATCCATGTGCCTAGATGCTTAACTTCTGTCTTATTTTGTCCATATTCTGCTTTGTGTTGCTAAGTGTTACAGGTGAACAGATGGTTGGTATCCCAGCAAGGTCACACTTGGTTGCCAGGTATGCTGTGGTGTTGTGGAGTCCCAGGGTATCCCTGAATCCTTCAGTCCATCTTCTTCTGGGTCATCCATAACCTGTTGGTGTTTCTACTTTCATGTTGTGCGCTCTCACTGCAGAACCCGATTTAGGCATACACATCCATTTTACAGATCTGGCTTATTTGAATGCAGACTGTTGGTTCCTCACCTTTCATGTGGAAGCAGTCCAGATTTTAGGAAATACCCCTAATTAGGTGCCTTTTAAAACATGCTCGTGGAGGGGGGAGGGGGGGTGGGAGTAGTGGGTCTGTTGCTATGTGTATATCTATCTTTATATATACGGCAACTACACTCAGAGGAAATGCAAGACAGACTTTTAACCAGATTGTGACTGGTACCATTAGTACTGGAACTCTGCGCTGGCTGCTGAAGATGTGATGGAGCACACATGGGAATGCCCTGAGTGCTGTGATGTCAATTCTAGACTGAACTCAACTCAACTCAACTGAACTCAATATAATGGGACCAGAAAGCTTTATAAAAAAGATATGTCTCTTATTTCTTCACCATTCATGAACTGATCCTATTGGACTAACACCCAGACTTTATTTCCATCAATAGTCTCTGACCATGGATAACTTAGCCAGAAAAGAATCCACAGTTGGAGAGGTCGTCAATTTAATGTCGGTGGATGCTGAGAGAATCGAAAGCTGCATCAGTTACATGTGGGCCGTATGGTCGAGTCCCTTACAGATCATTCTCTCCCTGTATCTCCTCTATCAGTATATAGGTCAGTATGTCATGGAGCTTGTTGTTGTCGATCTTGTTACTTGTGATTTGTCTACCTTTTAAAAATGAAGATCAAGAACATCGCAAATTATTCATCCAATGAGACTTAATTACATAAGTGATTTATGATGATGATGATAATCAGGAAATTCAAATGTCAGGAAATTTTGTTACAGTATGACATCTACGGCTGTCACATTTTCTAGGCCATGGTATCCAAGGTGAATAACTCTCTGCATTCCTTGCTGACTGTCCTGCTCACATCATTCCTAAAAAAAATTGTGTTGGGCCACTTTAATAGGACCTTACTTGTCAGAAAAAAAGTGTACTGGTATCATCTTCCCTTTAGAGTTAACAAATCAGGCCAAGAGAGGAAGAATGAAAGAGAGAGAGAGAGAGATAGAAAGAGAGAGAGAGATAGAGAGAGAAAGAGAGAGAGTGAGAGATAGAGAGAGAGATAGAGAGAGAGTGAGAAAGAGAGAGAGTGAGAGAAAGAGAGAGAGAGATAAAGAGAGAGAGCAAGAGAATGAGATAGAGAGAGAGAAAGAGAGTGAGAGAGTGAGTGAGAGATAGAGAGAGTGAGAGTGCGATAAAGAGAGAGAGAGCAAGAGAATGAAAGAGAGAGAAAGAGAGAGTGAGAGAGATAGAGAGATCATGATGCATGGACAACACAGTCTCCCCAATACTGACCAGGCTTTGTGCTATGGAAAGGAGGAAATTCATCCCTGGCCATCACTTGTAACCTCATGGACTGTGATTTCCATACCTCCTTTTAGCACAGTGGAACACCATCATCTGGAAGGTAGGAAAGGTGCCAGCAAACAACAAAACACAACAAACTGGTCAGACAAATAGTGCTGGCTGTGCTGAGTATGAACATAGGTTACTGGGATAAGAGGCAAGTTCACTAACCACACAGGGTAATGGATGAGCTGACCAGCTAGCAGGCAGTGCCTCAATGCATGTGGGAAGAAGCCAGGGCAGAGCTGTTACACTGTAGACTAGGATAATGATACATCTCTGGTGCTAACATGATTTGCATAACCTGGGAGTAAAGCATAGTGAAGCACATCTGTGTTGTCTTGGGGGTCAAAACAGGTGACACTATAACCAACTACTAGTGGTTAGTTAGTTAGTCTTTCCTCTTGTGTCAAGTGAGGCACATAGGGCAGAGGTCATGACTCTCCATGCATGGCGGTTCGTTGCAATCTGTTGTAGGTCTTGGATGTTTGAGTGGCCCATGAGTGAGCCTTTCCTGATAATAGTTCTACGTAGGGTTTCCCTTGGTCTTCCACGAGATCTTTTCCCCTGTGGTGTCCAAATGAGGGCTTGGTAAGGAAGTCTTGATTTATCCATTCTAAGGGCGTGGCCGACATAGTTCCAGCGGCGTTTTCGTATAAAATTAGACACATACTCTTGCCTGGATTCTTGTCTTATTTGTGTATTGGTTCGGAAATCTGACCATTTGAAATTTAGTATTCTTCTAAGGCATTTATTTTCAAAACTGTCTAATTTTGTGTCCAGAGTTTTCGTTGATTTCCAGCTCTCGCATCCATAGGTTAGTACTGGAATCACACAAGAATTGAAGATCTTGAGTTTTGTGTGTTTGCTAAGTGTCTTTGATTTCCAGATGTTGGACAGTTTATTGAAGGCACTAGATGCCAGTGCTATTCTAAATGATGTTTCTGGTGCGGTATCTCCTGTAGATGACATCTTGCTCCCTAGATAAGTGAAACTGTTGACTTTTTCAAGGCTGTTGTTGTTCAGCGTGATATCAACTGAACTGTTGCTAAGGTCTAGAATTTTTGTTTTTGCGGTGTTAATTTGGAGTCCAATTTTTTCTGAGAAATTCTGGAGTCGATTGATTTTTTCTTGGGCTACTAGTGGGAACAGTTAGTATTGATATGGGAACAGTTAGTATTGGTCCCTTGGAGTAGCTGCTGCATTGGAGGACTGAGCATGCATGGGAATGTCCAGTGTGCATTGATGTGTTGATTGTTAAAACATATCATAACTACCACTTTATTTCCAGACTCTTCATGTGTTCTCATTTATTCTACAATGAAACCATTGGCTATTGGACTTACACTGGGCAGTGGGATGGCATCTATTGATAGTGAAAACTAAAAGCTGTTTAATGATCACATTTAATCTGTTTACAGACAGTCAGAGCTCTGTATGCTGTATCACAGTACCATATGTGTTGAGCCAGTACTATATAGTCAGCACTATGTGTGTTGAGCCTGTACTGTATGTGTTAAGACAGTACTATATGTTTTGTGTCAGTACTGTAGGTGCTGAGTCAGTCAGTACTCTGTGTGTGTGAGCCGGTGCTGTAGGTGCTGTAGGTGCTGAGTCAGTCAGTACTGTGTGTGTGTGAACCAGTACTGTTGGTGCTGAGTCGTCAGTATTGTGTGTGTGAGCCAGTACTTATGTAATGAGCCAGTACTATATGTACTAAGTCAGTACTAGGTGTGTTGAGCGAGTACTGTATGTACATTATTGCATTTTAATATTCCTGAAGTATTTAAATTTTCAGAAATATGCTTAACCAATTTTTTAAATTTTTTAAAAAGGACATGAATTTTTCTGTAAAATGTACGTTCAAAACACTGAATTGTTTCTTTAATGAAAGCAAAATAGTCAGTGATTCACATCCAAATGTTGCCACAGGAAAAATGCATGTTGTTACACTACGCCCTAAAATTTAAATAATGCAAATACATTGCACAATTTATTGCCTGGCATATTTGACGGTATCACGTTAGTTGCATTACTACAGAGTTTAATCAACAAATAATAAAGCATCAAAATAAAGCCTTTTCACTCATACACATTCATTACATTGTCAGGTTAGATTGTACATTTCTCTGCTTGAAATTGAAAATCAGCCACATGATTACCAATGAAACTTCAAATTTATCAAGTGGTCTTTATGTTTACTTAAAACAGAAGAGTTTAGTTTTATTGTTACATCCTCAGCAAGTTGTAATAAATGTTTTATCTTTTTCTTATTTGTTTCACCAGCTGTAAGCTCTAGTGAAAAGTCCTAGTTGTTTGTCCATTTGGACTTTTGCTTTGTGCCAGTGCCTGAGTTTTACGTGTTATGTTGTTATTTTATCACAATTGACGTCACTGCACATTGAGCATTTCCATGCGTGCTCAGTCTTTCGATGCAGCAGCCGCTCAAAAGTACTTCTACTAATTGTTACCATGAGATGCTGGTTATATTGTCTACTATCTCAGCCTCGAAGACAGCATAGACATGCCTCACCATGCTTTACTCCCATGTCACGCAATCGTGTTAGTGTCAGGAATTCCTCATTATCCACTAGCCCAGTTTGTACAGCGTTGACGATATTTGCTCTGTCCATGCTTTTTCCCTGCAATCCTTAGTGCAGTGCTTGCCAGTTAGTCTGCTCGCTCATTTCCCTTTATACCCACATGACCAGGTGTGTAGATACAGGTAACGGAGGTTAGGTGCGATTTTTGAATGCTTTCTACCCATTCGGAGCACATACCGTCTGTTGCTATCTTCTGAAGCATATTTATGGAGTCTGATAAAACAACTACCTGTGTGGCGGTTTGCTCGGATACCCATGCTAAAGCTCTAGAAGCAGCGGCTATTTCCATTGTCATGCTTGACGTGGTTGTCTCGTAAGCGCCGCTGTCCTCCTGTATTGTTTTCCTCCTTCTTTGCGCTGTGTATGCCCATGCTGACCTTGATCCGCGCTTCACGGATCCATCTGTGTAGATGATGATATCTTCTAGGTCTAAATGCTGATCTATCAGTTCCTTTACTTCTGTGTCTTCGGCCCCAGGAATTTGATCCCTGCAGTACCTTCTGAGTGTGAAGATAACCTTATAGATGCCATGCACGTCTACTGGTGTATTCGTCCATTCTTTTCCGTGACTGATCACGTCAAGGTCACATACCTGCTGGATTAAATCCTCAGCTTTTGCCATCCAAGAGCGGCCTCTTTTGAGACGTGTTCTTTTTGTGTCGTGTATAGCTTTGTACAGTGGATGGTTAATGTCTGCCGATACCCTCATGTACGCCTTGACCTGTGAAATTTGAATCTGCTAGTCATCGTTGGCAAATCCAGGACATAACGCCTAGCGTTGCAGGAGGTGACTTTTATGCAGCCGAGTATAAGTCTCATGGCCTCATGTTGTACTCTGTCCAGTCTTTCTAGCTGGGTTTTGCTGACAGTGAGGAGGCCAAGACCATAGTCAGTGACGCTTAATACGTTTTACGTGTACATCTGTTTTACTGACTTATTTGTGTGCAGTAGGTTGTTCCTTGCCACTTGGGCAGATGTACTTAGTACTTGGATTTGAAAGAAAGTTCCCAGTTAGTCGACTCCTGCTACTTGCTTGTTGGAAACGGGGGGGGGGGGGGGGGGGGGGAGTATTTTTGTTTTCACTATTATGGGAGCCCAGAACACACACTGGGAAAATGTCTTTTCAATGTGAAGGCATTGGTCTCTTTTTGGTTGATCTTGATACAGGATCTCTACTCAGTTGTGAATGGAGCCAGGTAGAGATATGTTCTGCTCTAAACCTAAAATTGTCTCAGCAGTTGCACTTTAAGTGAAAAGCTCTGACTTTGGTGACAGCTGTTCCTACAGTCTGTCTACTGTTGCAGGGGTGTCCATGTTTGCTGGAGCTGCCTTCCTGGTACTGTTGATCCCCACCAATGGCTACATCACGGCTAAGCTGGGCAACTACCAGACTAAGCTGATGGAGCACAAGGATGACAGGATGAAGGTCATGAATGAAGTGCTCAGTGGAATCAAGGTCTGTGTCACTTATGTTTCTCTTTTGTGTATCAGCTATTTATGTTACGACATTCTGTGTTAGGTTAGGAAATGTTTTCTGGACAAACCTTTGTGGGAAGGGAGGACAAGGGTGGGGTGGGGAGCTACAGTGATACAAGTGCAGTGTTGAGTCTTGATCTAAGAACTGATATCATAGCACTCAAGACATTCCTATAGGTGCTCCGTCATCATCTTAAGCAGCCAGCAAAGAGTTCCATTTTCCCATAGTGCTAGTAGCAGTTTGATTATATGTCCATCTTGACTGTCCTCTGAGTGTGAGGTATTGACCAGATTCCCTGGTCACTGCCAGCTGTACCATTCCCTCCAGACCATAATGCTGTATTCATGCCTGCACATTGTTCACTTGTTTCCAAAGGGCCTTGATCACAGCTAGCTCGTCATGCAATAATTCACCATCCATTGGTGCAGAACTGGCCAATCTGTCTACCCTGTTCATTTTCTCAAACTCCTGCAAAGAGCCAGGAGTGTAATTAGGGCAATTTACTTAAACTAATAGCATTCAAAAACAGATAGATAAATTTTTTTAAAAAATATATAAAACACAAGTTTTTACTTGTTTTATCTCTTGTGTAGGAGAGTTGAAATAAACACACACAATTTAATTTACATCATTAAAAGTTAATCATGGAACCGATCCAGAGAACAAGGAACTGTGTGTGGAGATGCAGTCAGCAGGGCAGATGAAGTTAACAGTTAAATTTGAGAAGATTGACTTCATTGCGCCAGGTTTTATCTCATGTGGCTTGGTCTCTCACCACAGAACAGCTAGCCATCTGCCAAGATGGCTACACGGAGCACAAACTCCATAGCTCCGACGACGATCTCCAGGGATCTGCAGAAAAATTGCACACATGAATTGAACGGCGCAGCTGTGAAACAAACCTAAGACCCTCAGAATGCAAGGCAAACGGCTTAACCACTTCACCACGGAGACCCTCTTGTTACATCATTGGTCAAGTCTGCTGATAGCCATTTGCCAATTGCTAAAAACAAGAACTAAATCATAAAATCATTTAAAAAAATGATTTACATATATATAATATATATATATATATATATATATATAAATGGCTTAGTGATGATGGGAGTTAAGCATGGTGATGCACGTCTTTGCCGTCTTCGAGGCCGAGAAAGGAGACAATATAACCAGCTTCTCATGGGGACAATTAGTAGAAGTACTTTGGAGTGGCTGCTGCTTCGGAGAACTGAGCACGCATGGGTATGCCCAATGTGCAGTGACATTAATTGTGATAACAAAACATAAAATAACATCTTAGTAGGGAGTCGGCAGTACGAAACCCAAGTTCAAGGTGTCTCCTTCGTGCCAAAGAACTGCATGGCTGTTGGGTAAACAGTCGTTAACGATGGCAGGCAGGTCGTTGTAGGGGCGACGCCTGCTAGTGGATGTAATGTTCTAAGTCCCTTCCCCAGCTAATAATGAGGGTACTGCTGGGGTGACCGTTTATTAACCCTCATATAATTCTTCCGGTCAAAATGGACGCTAGGCACGGCCACCTTTTTTTTTTTTTTTTAAAGCCGTGGCAAATATTTTTTTTTTTGGCCATACGGTGGCCGTTGCATTTTTGCTCCATTTGTAGACTGGAAGGATGTAGTTTCGTCGCCCAGCTTCTGAGTTGAGTGCATGGCGTGACACTGTGAGCTGCGTTTGTTTTTCGTTGGCACAGGAGCGAAGCATCTTTGGGGTGACCCGTTTGCTATGAAGCTGAAACTAGGATTACCAGATTACCAGATATATATATATATATATATATATATATATATATATATATATATATATATATATATATATATATATACACATATAATTTTCTGTATAAATAAGATTTATGTAAATAAGAAAACATTTAGATCAGGACAAACTGTTTTGTAAGACACAGTATATAAGGCCAGTGTTTCCATTGCCTCTAACTGCCGATATAGCAGAGAATGACATCATGTAGTCCTGTTACATCACTAGGCCATTTTCCCACCTTGGGTCTCTCAGGAACATTAATCCATCCTATTATGCCAGTTAGCTTGCTTATGTTATGTCTAATATTGTCACTTTCTGTCACAATGAATATGTTTCACAGTTATTTCATTTCATTTGTTTAATTTCTGCTTTGTTTGAATTAGTAACACGGGCATGAAATGTCTGAGACAGGCTGCAGAAGGGATGAGAAGAGAATGAAGTTATAAGATGAAAACAAAAAGTACAGAACCAATATTAAACTATATATGAAGAAAGCAAATAAAATGATTTGCCCATATATATACCAGAAGAGATGTAGAGCTCAAGGCATCCACGAGATGGTGACACTGGTGGATGCCATGGGGCACTCAACGACGGCAGGCTGGACAACCAGATACACAGCAAGGAAACGGCATAGGCTACACTGTCAGGTGGCATACATACAGGCGTATGGATTCGCCACAATGGAAATCCCAAACAAGAAAACACAGTCCCAAAATAACCGCCGCTCACTTCTGGAGCTGGTTAGGGTGACTAGAACTTTTAATTTTTTTCAAACAAACTGGAACTGGAGCTCAAGGTGGACCAAGAACAAGACCAATTGTAGAAACTCTACAACAGTACAGTGCATCCATGGTTGAGTAGGCCAGAAGAGGCAGCATGAGGAAACTTATGTTTCTATTGACACCCATATATCTACTCCTAATTCTACATTCACACATTCTCACACATGTTATTTCATCTACCCTCCTGCCTTCTATCAGCATTCTTTCATAAATGATCTTCCAAATTCATCCTTTATCCAGTCTGAATGTTCTTGTAGCTGTAACTTTTGTAGCCAAAAAATCTGCTCTTTCATGTTGATATGATTATGCTCTTGTATGTAAGAGTTGTAATAGATTGATATGGTTATATGTGTGGTGACTGACACAGATCATCAAGCTGTTTGCCTGGGAGAAGAGTTTTGAGACACGAATCCTGGACATCAGAGAGAAGGAGCTGCAAACCTTACGCATCTCAGCCATCATCAACTCTGTGCTGACATTCTCCTGGACTGCTGCTCCGTTTGTGGTAAGACCCAGCCACTGGAAGGTGAAGTATTAGATCTTCAGATATTCTAGGTCATTGGTTCCCATTTAGTTAATAAGTCCAGGGAACCAATCTTATTTAGGAAAGTCTGCAACTGACCCCATATTGTGTAATAGTCATACAGAAAAACTTATTATAGTTTATAAATATTACAGTCTCATGTAGAACTGCATTCTTCTTCTTCTTCTTCATTCAGGGGGGCTGCACAGTCTCAAGGCATGGTGTCTGCCTAGAGTGCTAGAGGTTCCAGGTTCAATCCCCGGTAAAGACTGGGATTTTTTTTTTACTTGGACTTCTAGTAACTGCCCCTGGTTCCTGGGTAGTGAGATCGGACGCTCGTGTGCATTGTTGCGCACGTAAGAAATTCCTTGGCAGTTGGAAATCGAAAAGAGTAGCCTAACGGCGCTGCCTGGGCAAAATGTGAAGTTTAAAATCTACCTAAAGTATTTCAGGATTCTTGCCGGTGCTACAGAAAGTGCACTGTGCTGAGCTCCTTCGGACTCAGACTTAAGTTAGAAGAACAACAGAGCACTTATGGGTTACTGCCCGTCTGCCATGATGTTGATCCGTTGTTCAAACCTCAAACTTCAAACTTCTTCTTTGTTTAACATTGAAAGGGTGGATGGTGTTAGATGCGTTCTTAGAAGGTAATGTATCCCACCAAGTGTCCAGGGTGTATGACTTGCTCCAGTCACATATAAGTTCTCCCACAGATGACAACACCACTATTAGGTTCTTACAGGAGAGCAAGGAGAGGCCAACAACCACAGAAACACGACCATAAGCTAATGTACACGTAACAGGCTAACATATCCTACCATAAACACTAATATTGTCTACGAATACTGTAATATTATACACAACGCCAAGTATGATCTTGTAGTGCAATCAGTCTCTTTATTATGTATGAACACATTGTGATGAAGATGACTTGGTGATCAATGCCTCACTGTCAAGTCTACTACTGCCTTCTAAACACTCACATTGACAGCCTCTTCAGTCAGTACACCTCAGCAAACTATGTACCAGGCTACAGCCACGGACGGGCGAGCCCTATATGACATATAATGCCACAACAGGACAGTAAACAATCAATGAGAGTCTAGGTTTTTAACCAGAGCTTAACTGATCAGCAACAAGGTCCTGCCATTGGGAGGAATGGATCCCTGACTCTGACTGCTATCTCCATAGGTAAGCACACTGACCACTCTGCCGCCATGGCTAATGAGGTGTGCTCTCACACATTGTGGTTTGTTAGTGTTTGCGTGAGTGGACTGTGTGGGAGTATATTATGAGGCAGAATTTTGTTTGTGTATTAGTGCTGTTTGCTATAGCTGTTCAGTATACTAACAGTTTCACCATTGGTAATTGAAATTGCACCATTTTTTTTTTTTTTTTCACTAGTACATGATTATGGAATATGGAATTTATATCGTTAAAGAACTCTTACTTTAAGTGACAGAAATTGCACATTTCTGTACGCAAATTGTACAGCTAAATATAAATTGATCCATTGGTACCATTAATTACATTTCACTTAGTTACAGTTTCCTCAGTTACGGAATCTGTACCATTATTTATAGAAATTGCACCATTTGCTATAGAATATACCATTAAGTATGGAGGCTGCATCAGTCCAGAGGTCACAGGTGGTGAGTCACATGAGTATTTAACCAGAGCCCTGTGGTTGTGTTTGGATATGAGCTGTCAGATAGGGTTGCTGGGCTGACTCTACTGGGGAGAGGGAGCAACTACAAAAGGTAGAGGTGATTTCTCACTTGTGGAATGAGGTAACAAGTAAAATGGAAAATATTGAAAACCCATACAGGGAGAGAATGATGCACAGGGTAATGTCTGCGGACTCTGTGTGCCCCTTGAGACTTGGGGGAAAGACAAGATGAGTAGTTAACCAGATGACAACAAGCATCATTAGTATGAAAACTCTTTGCTAGCTGTTGAGGAGAAAGACAGAGCTTATGGGCTTGAATACAGTGATGTTGAATCCTGACCCAGATGAACCCGGCTGAAGGTTACCCCATTAATTAAGAAAGTTGCACTGTTAATTATGGCGGCGTCCTGGCTAAGGCGTTGCGAGTCCCACTTGTACAAATGGGTACCAGGATGGGCTGTCCAGGTAAAGTTAAGACGGCCGGCGTAATGCTGACCACATTACCCACCGAGTGCTGATGGTCTGTAAAAATATGGGCGCTCTTCCCATATGCCCGATACGCCTAAAGGCGTGGAAAGGGATCTTTACTTTTTTTTACTGTTAATTATGGAAGTTGAATAATTTGTTATGTAAGTTGTATAATTATTTCAGGAAATTGCACATTGGGATCACAGCTTTCCTTGAAAACAGCTTGTCTTTGATTTCAGGTATCCCTGCTGACATTTCTCTGTTACGTGTTTATCGCTGACAACCACTACCTCGATCCCAAAACTGCTTTTGTTGCCATCTCCCTGTTTGACATCCTCAGATATGCCATTAACTTTGCTCCGATGATTGTCACAGATCTTCTCAAGGTGAGAGAAAGTGTTGCAGGTTCTGACTAAACACAGATAATGGCAATGATAAACATAGAATCTAAGCTATTAACTCTTTTGGTACCGAGGTACTCAGCCAGGGTGAGATTGTGCTACAAAAATACTAATCTAATCACTACTAAATGTGACACACTCCCATAAATGCTGATTGCCACTCTTTCTTCTACAGGGACCAGTTCTCAAAAAGCTTAGTAAAGATGTTTTTGACTCTATGTGTGCCTGTACAGTATTTATTAGGTCAGGATATGAATCTAGTAACTAAAAATAGCAATGGAGGAAAGGGGGGTAGGGGGCGAGGAGGAGGAAGTGTCCTTATGAAGCTATTGGTTTGTTTAAAACCAACTTGATGTCAAATTTTCCAGTAATCCTCAGTGATAGAAATCATGGGGTAACAGCATGAGTCACCCAATACTTATTTTTTGTAGGCCCTTGGGAATGTATTCCACTTAATGCTTGACTGTTCATGTTTATTAATTCTTATTCTGAAAGTCCAAGCCATGTGGCGTTGGTAGTCATGTCTGTCCACAACCTCCTGTCTGGTGTACTTTCAATCAGCTCTGATACAGATGATCCTCCATGCCATGATGTCACACTCCAGCATCTTTTCTCTCAGTCTTCCTCTGCCTCTCCTTCCCTCCAACTTTTCTACAGTCACGATGTACTCCAGTTTTCTCCTTCTCATTACATGACCAGAGAATGTAGATTGTCTCTTTCTGATGTTGGCAATCAGTTGATGTTGCACTTTGGAGGGTCAGTTTTCTTTGTAATTACCATCACTTCAGTTTTTCTGCTGTTCAAACTCAGACCTTTGTTTTCACTTTCCGTTACAATTATATCCATCATTTCTTGCAGTTGTGTTTCATTGTCAGTGATCAAAACTGTATAATCAGCATATTGGAGGTTGTTAACAATATGTCCACCAATGGATATTCTTGGCATACCATGTATGGATCACATTTTTTTTTTTTACTGTACAAATTAAATAATTTGAATGAAGAAAGTGACCCTGATAGGTGGAATGCGTATGCAAGGTCAGAGGTTACAGAATGGAACATAACTCAACATTGTTAGACAAAACTGTTGAACTGTATGACCCTTAGACAAGAGAGAACCCAGTAAACAAGATAGTTTTCAGAGACTTGCAGACTCTTACTATCTAGACTTAACAGCTGTGACCTCTTTATCAAAAGATATGATGGCTATGTGTAAGTTGTTTGAGTGCTGTGCTTAGGTGGCAGATAAATATCCAATATGCTTGAACGCTATAGGCTTTAGGCAACACATTCTATTGCAGGTGTGGGATATTGAACTGAAAGTGACCCAGATAGGTAGGATAAGTAGGCAAGGTCAGAGGTTACAGCAAGGGATATAACTCAACATGTTCAAATAAAACTGTGTTAGACTTTATGACCCTTAGATGAGATAGAACCCAGTAAATACATGATTCTCTGGAGACAATCAGATTCTTTGCGCTAGAGACACTAGACTTAATGGCCATGACCTTTATGTTGAAAGATGATATGGTTTGACAATAGATGGTTCAGGGCTATGCTCCAGTGGGGAAGAAAGGACAGACAAAAGGTCTAGCATTAGTGCAGGTAACAAAGTGTTCACCTAACTGTGTACTTTACTTTCCTGCAGGCATTCATCTCAGCTCGGAGAATAGGCCGATTTCTCTGTCATGATGATTTGGATAAATACAGTGTTTCACATGTTGCTGGTACAGGTATAGTTTTATTCAACATTTGTTTTTCAATCTCCTTATCTATTGTCATCCTAGCTATACTGTTTTCATCACCATCGTTTTCTCCTGGTTTATAGTTGACTAGATACTGGATATAGAAGAATGGCGCTGCCAGGAGTTACCAGAGGATCTGGCTGACACTCAGCACGCAAGGAAAAGGTGAGATGGATATACCGTCAGACAGTTACTGGTGCCATCAAAATTGGTTTGAGGCTAAAGATGGGGACAGAGCGCTTATGGGAATATCCTAAGTGCTGTGATGTCGATTCTTAATTCAGAATTCAACATTCTTTGTTTCTGTGTAGTGTGGCCCTGGAACCCACACAGAGAAGGCAATTTAATAGATCAGATGTGTTTTGCCAAAGAGCACAGATATCGCAGTTTAGCTGTAAACAACAACATAATGTGCCAACAGCCTTATCAGGGTCAGTGCAGAAGAAGAAGAAGAAGAAGACATAACTGAAATCAAAATTATTAGCAAAAACGAACCTTATAAACACATTTTAGATAAACAAATGATCATTTTTGTCTAAGATAGTTTGTCCATCTGAGATTCCATTTGGTCTGTCTTCTGTCCACAGAAAACATCATTGATATACGTAATGCTAGCTTTAGGTGGAGTTCTGAGACCAGTCAGACGTTAACAAAGTGAGTGGTGTGTTGTGGTTGTATGTTTTATAAAATATCTTGTATATATGGAGTATCACCCAGGAATGATTATGTCCTAGCAGGGAAACAAGTAACAGTAACTCTATAATCTGTAAAGCATGTCATTAGAAGCAAGTAAAGAGGACTGGGTTTTTACAGGCAATCAATCTTTAAAGATTGTATGTGGCATTTCCTGAAATTATGTCCTCTCAGTCAATGGAAGGTGGCAGAGTAAACAGGACTCAACTCAGCAGATCCACACTTCTCCGCTGCGTTGGAGACTGTCCAGGACCTCACACCTTGCACACTTTGAGACTGGAAGACATTCAAGCTAACCCCATATTTGTATGAACCAGTTAACAATCAGTGAGTAATGTGTTCAGTATCACATTGACCGCCTCTGCTTCTGACAACACTTCCTGGTAACCATGTTAAGTTATGTCAGGGGTGCTTTTAGAACAAAGTGAACTAATGTCTTGGTATATTTGTTCTGTCTGTAGTATCAACATGGTTATTGGTGAAGACAGCCTGGTGGCTGTGGTTGGAGCTGTAGGCAGTGGCAAGTCATCCCTGATCTCTGCCATCTTGGGGGACATGGAGAAACTGTCCGGGACTGTCAATGTACGGGTAAGTTAGGAAATAACATATACGTGGAGCCATGGTGAAACTGTTCAGGACTGTCAATGTACAGGTAAATTAGAGGACAACAATTCTTGGAGACGTGGAGAAGCTGTCCAGGACTGTCAATGTACGGTTAAGTTAGGGAACAACATATACTTGAAGACTTGAGAAACTGTTCAGAACTGTAAATGTGGGGGTAAGTTTGGGACAGCATATATCATATAGTTGGGAACATGGAAAAGCTGGTGGGTCTGTTAGTGTATGGATTTGTTGGGGACACCATATAACATTTAGTGGGGGACATGGAGAAACGATCCGGGACCATCAGTGTACCAGTAATTTCTGGACATCATTTAACATATACACAGTGATATGGAGAGCTGATGTGACCATTAACCGGTGGGTAAGTTTAGGGACAAACATATATATGGGTAGGTTTGGGAACTTATTACACATACTAGGGAACATGGAGAAGCTTTCAGGGACTAATAAAATACAGGTCAGGTTTGGACAACATAAACTAACGTATACTGAGGTATATAAAGAAGTATATGGGGACAGTTGACTTAAGGGTAAGTCTAAAGACAAAATAAACTAACGTATACTGAGGGATATAAAAAGTATATGGGGACAGTTGACTTAAGGGTAAGTCTAAAGACAATATAAACTAACGTATAATGAGGGATATAAAGAAGTATATGGGGAAAGTTGACTTAAGGGTAAGTCTAAAGACAACATAAACTAACGTATATTGAGGAATATAAAGAAGTATATGGGGACAGTTGACTTAAGAGTAATTATAAAGACAACATAAACTAACGTATACTGAGGGATATAAAGAAGTATATGGGGACAGTTGACTTACGGGTAAGTCTAAAGACAACATAAGCTAATGTTTACTGAGGGATATAAAGAAGTATATGGGTACAGTTGACTTAAGGGTAAGTCTAAAGACAACGTAAACTAACGTTTACTGAGGGATAAAAAGAAGTATATGGGGACAGTTGACTTAAGGGTAATTATAAAGACAACATAAACTAATGTATACTGAGGGATATAAAGAAGTATATGGGGACAGTTGACTTAAGGGTAAGTCTAAAGACAACATAAGCTAATGTTTACTGAGTGATATAAAGAAGTATACGGGGACAGTTGACTTAAGGGTAAGTCTAAAGACAACATAAACTAATGTTTACTGAGGGATATAAAGAAGTATATGGGGACAGTTGACTTAAGGGTAAGTCTAAAGACAACATAAACTAATGTTTACTGAGGGATATAAAGAAGTATATGGGGACAGTTGACTTAAGGGTAAGTCTAAAGACAACATAAACTAATGTTTACTGAGGGATATAAAGAAGTATATGGGGACAGTTGACTTAAGGGTAAGTCTAAAGACAACATAAACTAATGTTTACTGAGGGATATAAAGAAGTATATGGGGACAGTTGACTTAAGGGTAAGTCTAAAGACAACGTAAACTAATGTTTACTGAGGGATATAAAGAAGTATATGGAGACAGTTGACTTAAGGGTAAGTCTAAAGACAACGTAAACTAACGTATACTGAGGGATATAAAGAAGTATATGGAGACAGTTGACTTAAGGGTAAGTCTAAAGACAACGTAAACTAACGTATACTGAGGGATATAAAGAAGTATATGGGTACAGTTGACTTGAGGGTAAGTCTAAAGACAACATAAGGTAAATCTGGGAAAATATAACATGTACTTCTATATTACTGTATTTTTTTTTTTTTCACCATTGAAAAAATGGTTGGCCATTGTGGCGAACAGCTAGGCTATGTTATCTACATCTTTCGACCCAACACATCCAGTTTCAAAAGAGTCCTTTTTCTTCATTTCCCTCAAAGGGGAACTTGACATACTGTGTGTTCTGCACCTTTCGACCTAACACAGAGCTATCCTTCAATATTCAGTCACCATTTATTTCAGTCTTGGTAATGGGCAGTGAGTCTATTACACAACCTTCCCCCCCCCCTCTCCTTTTTTACCTTAATAGATCACAGGAACCCACACGGGGCAAACTGTAGAGACAACATACAACACCAGGGTAAATCTAAACACTTATAGCATATGCTGGTAGACATATGGAATATTTTAGAGACATTTGATATAAGAGTAATTTGAAGACCTCATACGTTACAACATAACCTGAAAGATCTGCTCACTTTTTCCAGGGACTGTTGACATAAGGGTCGGTCTGAAACAACATACAGCATAAAAGTAAATCTGGGAGAATTTAACATGTTTTAGGACAGTGTTTACAACTTTAAAAAAAAAAACCCAGACTGGGAAAATAGATAACATTTTTATTATGGACCAGCTGATGGGCGTGACAGATACAAATAAAGGTGCTGTCTCCAGAATAGAGGTTATCTGCAACATACCACATTGCTGTCTTTGAGAATATTATGTAGTTGAGTTCCCCATTGCTTCTACGGTGTGACTCTCTTTCTACTGCTTGAAAACCACAAGAACAGTTTTTTTTTCTAAATAACTGGCTATAGAAATTGGACCCTGGTATGTTGAAGATATGTCCAAATGGTGACAGCGCCTTAGTGCGGGAGCAACTGCACCTGGACGCATGGCCAACTCGACACTCCTTACTGATACCGCTTTCTATAACTATACTATAGGTCACTGCAGCTTTCAGTTTTTATGTTGTCTAATGTGTCCTTCTGTCTCTGTACTTCTTTTTATGAGTGCCAATCAATACATGTCAGTTTTTTTATATCATGCTGCAGGGAAGCATTGCCTATGTGCCCCAACAGGCCTGGATTCAGAACAACTCTGTCCGCAACAACATCCTTTTTGGGAAGCTGATGGACAAAGAGTTGTACAACAGGTGTATTGATGCTTGTGCCCTTCGACCTGACCTTGACATGCTGTCTGCTGGGGACAGAACAGAGATTGGTGAACGAGTAAGATGATGTCCATATTTCCTGTAGGTCTGTATGTATGCCAGTTAGTAAATTTTAATCTAAATCCACTGTTGGTTTGTTTGTTTTAAAATAATAAAGTGACAGCCCCCTTCCGTGCCACTGGCGAATGAGGCATATGATGCTAAACGTATGTGTGTATAGACCAACAACACTTGGTATGGGATGTGGACAAAATCACGCTGCCTGCCTTTACTTCCCAAGCCAATTTTTGGCACCCATTTTAGGCTGGGTCAACCTGGCAGCCAAAGTCTGTTTAAAAAAAAATTAGACTCTTTTTTCAGTAGAACCCATGAACCCATGACTTTCAGATTGCCAGGTGACCATATAGCCACTATACCATTACTGTTCCAGTTGTATGTTTATTGAAATCTTAATTGACGAGGCAGTTTATTTTATGATGATTCCATCTGATGCATGTATGGTATATTGTTCTATTTATCAGTACTCTATGAGTTATGAGGTCACTATGATGCTGGCTGGGTTTACGTCCCTGGACATTTCCTTAGTTGACCTTAGAGCCAGGTCAGTTTGTTGCAAATCCAAGCAAGGATGAGATTTTAACTCCTGAACTCAAGGGATAAAGAGAGAAAGAGAGAGGGAGGGAGGAAGAGGGAGGGAGGGAGAGAGAGATGGAGAGAGAAAGAGAGAGATTAGTGCCAGAAATAAAGTGAGTGAGAGGAGACAGCTAAAGGGCTAGGGGGTGGGGAGGATGGAGGGAGGTAGTTAGTTAGTTTAGCTTAGCTCAGCCTAGCCTTAAGTTCTCTTGTGTTTGTCTAGGGCATCAACCTGTCAGGAGGGCAGAAACAGCGTGTCTCCCTAGCTCGGGCCCTCTATGCCCAGGCAGACGTCTACCTGCTGGATGACCCCCTTAGTGCCGTGGACTCTCACGTGGGACAGCACATCTTTGATTATGTCATTGGTCACTCTGGCATGCTTGAAGGCAAGGTCAGTTGTTTCTCATTTGTGTGGCATTTGACGGCTGATTACAGTATATTGTCTGTATGGGTATTACTGACTGTATGTTTACTTATATAAGGCATCTGTATATGATGTTATAGCTGACTGTATCTTGAGATACGCTTCTTGTTTAGTTGCATTATTTGTTGTTATTTGGTAGTTGAACAGTTCTTGTCTGATCTAAGAGTTGTAAAGTATGTGTCTAAAATACAGTAATATGAATGGATAATGTTTCTTTGGCTAGCTGTATTTTGTATCTGTTGAATGGCATAGTTCCTCTTATTTAGCTTTAGAATAGTTTTTTGTTGTTTTCTGTATAGTTTTTTTGTTGTTTGCTGGACATTTTTTTTTTGTTCGCTGGGTAGTTTTTTTTATTAGAGGATATAGTTTTGATTGTTTGTTAGCTGCATAGTTTGATTTTGTTAACTGTACAGTTTGTTTGTTAGCTGCATAGTTTTTTGTTTTGTTAACTGCATAGTTTTGTTGTTAGCTGCCTAGTTTTGAAGAGGAATTATTTGTCTTTTTCAACTCTACATTTTGAATACCTTGTCTTATTTACCACTCATTATTGCTGCATTTCACAGGGGATAGAGTCAAACTCATTCTGCACTAATTATAATTAACTTTACTCACCAAATTTATCTCGATACTTGGCCATATGCAATATTCTTAGTCTGTTGCTGATCATTGTTGATGATGAACAGTAACGAGGAATCCATCGCCCTTGACAATCCCACATACAGCTGTCCAGGTGAGGCACTTGTCAGTCAAACTCAAGGCTGGGACTTTAAGCAAATGACCCTGCACCTTGATGATCCTGATTTCAAATGAAAGTCAAACAGGAAATTGCAGTCATTTGAATGAAAATGACAAGTCAGTTTGAATGACTTGATGCAGGACAAGCTAGGTGGGGTCAAGACACTTGATGATGATGATGATGGTGAGACAACAGACAGACTTGATGGTGCTGTAGCATAAGGGGTTGGTGAATTAGTTTAGGTTTAGACGACGGATCAACAGTCCTTAGAAAGTTAAAATAGTTGCTTCAATAACATAAACCCTCCTCTGGGCCCACTGCACAGCTTTGGTGGGTCCCTGTTGTGTAGCAACATAACTAAACTGCCAACTTTCAGCGCTGATCTATGTGAAGGAATGAAACTGGACTATGGGCACAAGTGAGTCCACAAATTTTACCGGATAGCTTACGGCTTCATCATCATTTAACTCTTTGAGTCCAAGGGGGTTTTGCATCAGAGGCCCAAGGGGGGTAATATGATTTTGACTTTTAACAAATGCTGCACTTTAAAACCAACCACACAACTGCAGCTGATGTCCAACATACACATATCATACATAAAATTAAAAAAATTAACGGATAAGGATTAATATTAGCATACTGCTACAAAAAACAATTATACTGTTAGTTAGTATTTAGTAGAGAAAACAATGACTTAGTTTGAGAGGTGAGTAAATTATGAACAAGTTTTTTTCCACTTACCCAGAAGCTGATCCCAAAATTCTTGATATAGTATATCCAAAATGCAGCACAAAGGAAGGTACACTACTTATAAGTAAGCACAGCCAATATTGAAGCAATATGTGCAATAGTTGTTGTTCCATAACAATTTTAATAACACTACCATAACACGTAAAAATATATTCTCCAGTGGCACAAACAGTGACTTTTCTAAAAACAATTGAATTCCTCACATAGAAAAAAAACTGTAAAGGCACTGTAAACATGTCAACCTGTTCATAGATATATATATCTATGGTTTTATATGATATGGATAGTAGTACTAGAAGCGCTGACATTTGAACTAGCTGGTGTCGTATTACGAGGTGCTTCTCTTGTGTTGCCATGGCAGAATTAGTCAGTTTTGTCCTCTTAGCAGGAGGTAAATTACGCACACATCCTTATCAAAACTTGACTCCTCAACGGTTTGGGAAAATTTCACATCGCTACTATCATTATCCAACTCCACATTACTTTAATCGATCCACTGTTTTATCAAATTTGATGATTCTAAAGCAGTAAATCGCTTTGATGGGCGTGAAGATGATGACTGATCGGACATATTGTTTTCAGACAATTGTTTGGTAACGTAGTGGACCACACAAATATCGATTTAAAGTGTTAAAAACTCACCAGACCCAAACGAATGCACTCCACTACACACTTGAGAACCGGAAAGGAAGTTTAAATTGAGCGGTTGCCGATAAGTGGTAAATTGAAAACCGTCACACGTCATGCGCTGTTTGGGCCGCCAAGTAGTAACAAATTAGCGGGTGATGCGTTCCTTGGGACTCAAAGAGTTAAATATCTGTCTATTCAAAAGTATATTTATTTGTATTCTACCTATTTGCTGTATAGTTTCTGTCTTATACACTATGGCTGTACAGTGTATATAGTTTAGTATAGTTTATATTGTGCATCTTAGCCTAACTGAAGAAGAAGGAAGAAAAAGAAGAAAAAGAGAACAACAAGAAGTGGATGACGAAAGAGTAAACTTTATTCAGTCTACTTCATCTTCTTAGTGTTTACTGGCTGTAAACTCTACTGGAAAGTTCAGTCCCTGCAGTAGAGCTCTCCTTCCCCTCTCCGGGTTTAAACACAACTAGGGCTTCCCCAGCACAATACCCACAGAGAGGAGTGTAGTATATGTATTGTGTGTAGAAAGAGTGTAGTATATATTGTGTATAGTATATATTGTGTATAGTATATATTGTGTATAGTATATATTGTGTATACACAATTGGTTGCAGATTTCACCCACTTTCAGTGGTTTAACAGTTTATGTAGAACGGTGCTGCAGGGAGCTAACAGGGGATCTGGCCAACACTCAGTACTGAAAGGAAAGGCGTGACGGATGTACAGTCAGATAGATACTGGTACCATCGGAATTGGAACTCTTTGTTTGCTGTTGAGGGTGAAGACGCTTCTGGGAAGGCTTATCAGAGTGTCCTGTGATGTCAATTCTTGATTCAACATCCAACAGTTTTTATATGTGTGGTATATAAAAATCCATATCCACTTTCAGTGTCGTGACAGTTTATATTTGATATATCGACAGCCATTTTTTATGTTATAACAATTTATGTTATATATCCACACCAACTTTTATTGCTATAACAGCTAATATTTGATATATCCAACTCACGTGTCCAGGTCCGTGTTCTAGTAACACATGGCATCCAGTACCTGGCACACACTGACCAGATCGTCGTGATGACCGAGGGTCGGATCTCAGAGTCCGGACACTACGATGAACTGCTGTCTCATAATGGAGTCTTTGCCAGACTGATCCGAGCCTTTCTCTTTGAGGGTGATGATGGAGAGGACACTGACAATGAAGAATGTAAGAGGTCATGTTATACTGCATTCATCTTCTGGTTTTGTTGACTAAGTTGAGTCAAGAACCAACACTGGAAAGTTCCCATATGCGCTCTGTCCTCATCTTAAGAAGGCAACAGTGAGTTCAGTTTTGATAGTGCCAGTAGCAGGTTAAATTATGGAATTGTACAGATAGAATTACAAAGGTCAGATTTTTAAGAGCATGCATCTTTCCCATTGCAACATACGCCTGTGAGACCTGGACACTTACTAAACAAGCGGAACAGCGCATAAATGCATTTGAATATAAATGTTACAGACAGGTTCTAAGAATATCTTGGGTAAAGAAAAGAACAAATGCATCCATACTTCAAGAGCTGAATATTGAAGAGGGTTGGCTAGTAAAGACAATAAAACAAAGAAAATTGAAATATTTTGGTCACTTGAAACGTCATGGAGGTCTAGAGAGAACAAAAATGGAGGGGTATATGCCTGGGAAGAGAGGAAGAGGAAGGCCAAGGAGAAGATGGGTGCAGGATGTGGCAGATGATCTCCAGATGGGTGTATCAGACGCAGGACATCTTGCTCATGATAGGAAGGTTTTCCGGAGGGTTGTTATGGCAGCGAGGTTCCGCGAGGGACATACTACTGAATGAATGAATGAGTAGCAGGTTCATTTATGTCCATCTTGTCTTTCCTCTGAGTTTTTGATAGTGCCAGTAGCAGGTTCATTTATGTCCATCTTGTCTTTCCTCTGAGTGTACAATCTGGGCCAGATCCCATTGTCACTCCTTTCTCTTCACACTGATGGTATGTTCACACTTCTGCATTGTTTACTTATTCCTAAAGTGTCTTGACCACATCTGGCTTGTCCTTCATCAAGTCACCACCACCCTATGCTGCAGCACAACCCAGTCTGTCTTATCTCATCATTATAATCATCATCCTCATCAAGTGTCTTGACCACACCTAGTTTGCCCTGCATCAAGTCACCACCACCCTGTGCTGCAGCACCAGCCAGTCTGTCTTATCTCATCATTATAATCATCATCCTCATCAAGTGTCTTGACCCCATCTGGCTTGTCCTGCATCAAGTCATCATCACCTTATGCTGCAGCACCAGCCAGTCTGTCTGTTATCTGTGTTGTTGTCATTTACTTAACTCTTTATGTGTCTTACACAGGACTCCTTCTGTCCCCTGTCTGGAGCACAGGCCCTCAACTAACCCAAGCCAAACATTTCAAGAATGTGTAATAATGTGTTTTCTTTTGTAAGCTGAAGTTTTCTAATGGGTTTAGATAGCCAGTATTTCTGGAATGGGCCGAGGGGGAGGGGTGTGGGGTGGAATAGACCTTTGCCTCCCTATCAAGCATGTCATAAAAGGCACAACTAATAAGGGATTTTTTTCTTCAAAGTCGAAGCACATCTGCATACAAATAAGCCCAACTCTCATGTTACCGTCTGAAAGTGCCAAGAACCGACTTTCAGTCAAATGACAGATATTGTCAAACAGCATAGGCCTGGCACTGTTAGCCTTAAGACTTCAGTTCAGAATAGAGGATTAGACATGGTAGAATGTTAAGCTTCAAAGTTATTTTTACTTCCCACAGCACTTTGCTAATGCCATTTTCACATAAGGACGATAGTCTACGGTTAAGCTGTCTGAGCTACTGAGTTTAGTGCTTGGTGCAGTCCTGTGAGCTGTGTTTTTCATGTAGAATAAATGAAATACATTTGTCCAGTGGTTGTGTCGTGGTATTCATTACTGCTGGTTGCTGGTTTGTGTATTAGCTGGGTAAATACCTTATGTAATAATTCTACGTGAATGGCCAACTTATCATGCCCAACTACTTCCATCAGTGACAAACTGCATTTCTGGTGGCGAATGTTGGCTTTGACACCTCTAGCAACTGCCATATGCATTTACTGCATGTGCATTTTTCTTAATTGTTGCCAGACTAATTGTTTGTTCACCAGTTTTTCAAATGTGAAGGACATTTCATTTGATTTTCACTGGCACAGGAACGGAGCAAGTATGGGGAAACCCTATTGCTGTGAAGTTGAAACCTTGACTAAGACCAAAATCCTAAGATGTTGAATGGGAAAATCTGAACAGCTCCTGAAATCTGCAGAACCAACCAAGCAGGTTTTGTTGGCTTTTGAGATTTCACTGGTCAATTTTGCATTCAGTAGTTTGCCATTGCTCACTGAATGGGTTGGCTTTTGATACCACTGTTTAAACCAATGCAAGATGGTGTGCTGCAAAATCTCCCAGAGTGGAGTAAAGATAACTTAACTCATCACTGATTGTCAGCGAGTTTTCATGTTTACTTGTGATCTCTGACAACTTTCAGTACAGGAACTCAAGCAGGAAGTTCTCAGGAGGCTTTCGGAGACTGAGGAAGAGGGAGACGGAGACCTGCAAATTGTTCTACCAAGTGTCCATAGACAAGTGCCCAATATGTAAGTCCTGCAACACACACTAGCTCAATCACATAGTGGAATCTTCATCATCATCTTCATCATGTATCACACAGTAAGTGTAGACTGTCATGTTTCACCTTATCACAGGATCACCAGAATCACATATCAAGTCAGTGTTCTTGTCTCACCCCCATCCGTATGGGCAAGCCATCTGAGTATTTATGCTTCATTATTGTTTTGTTGCGACAGGAGTTGTTCCCCACACACTCATGATTATGTGGAGATCCCCAAAGTCGAGACCGTGGGGAAGATGATGCTCCGGCAGGTGAGCCAGCAGTCGGCCCTGATAGAAGAGGAAATTGTTGAACTGGGAAATGTAAGTAGTACCCTGGTTTGTCAGATTAGCTGTTGCAGTAGTTGTCTTCAGTACTTTTTTCTTGCCACATAATTCACAGACGGATTTCATTGAGCATGGGTGATCCAAATGTACACAACACTGATAAGACCAGTTATCTTATGCAATTCTGAAACTTGGAGTACAGCTAAAGAGATAAAGCTTTATTAAACATTTTTTTAGAACAAAGTCTTGCGATGAATCTTTGTATACATCAAAGATGCAAGCAGCAGGGGATGGAGAATAAGAAGCAACAATGATAAATCAACATTGATCTTTGATATCATGAGGGCTAATAGACTGCAGTGGCTGAGATATAGAAGGAATGGCAGGTGACAGAGAAGCAAAGACTGTCACAAAGGAGTTGAATGGTCATAGACAAGGAGACAAACCAAGAAGGTCATGGTGGAGAAATTATGTCTGTGAAGACCTACAAATACTTAGTTAAAGTCACCAACTGGAAAGAGAAGGAGAATCCCAGAGATCAGTGGAGGTGGTTGATATCTCAAATTATTGGTAAGATCAATCATTTTTGTTTTGGCGGTGTTAATGTGGAGTCTTATTTGTCCTGAAACATTTTGTAGATGGTTTGTTTTCTCTTGGACATGGTGCGTTGAACTCAGCGGCAAAGTCAAGGTCTTGTAGAATGTTGTTAATCCATTTGATACCCATATGTGTATTATTTGTGCAAGAACTAAAGAGTGAAGTTAACAAGGTGGTGAGGATTGAGGTGAGCTGCAGGCTTTAGCGAAGGAAAAGACTTGGTGGGAGTTGGCCGAGGACCTATACTCCACATGGAGATAAAGGGCAGGGAAAAAACTGAGTGGTGCTGAAAGAGTTAATTTCCTGATGTTTCAGGTGAAGTTCAGCATCTACAGACAGTACATGCAGGCTGTCGGCTACTTCTACGTGTTTCTCATCTTCTTCCTGTACGCCCTGTACACGGCCGCCAACATGGGGGCCTTAATATTCCTAAGTGCCTGGACCGATGACCCTGACCTGGGCAACTTCACTAAGTGGCCGTCCAACAGCAGCTCCCGGCGAAACACCAACGACTACTATGTGGGCATGTATGGCTTCTTTGGTTTGCTGCAGAGTAAGTGTATGATGTTTAAAACAATTGGTCTTGTATTCGATGTTGTGTAAATGTTTCTTTTTTTTTTTTGGGTCATGTGTTGTATGATTGATATCATATGTCATGCTTAATCATAAATTTCTTATGTTTGACATCATTTAAGTGTCATTTCTTCTTCTTCTGTTTGCTCATCCGAGTGATGTAATTGTATTGTGCCTGTTTACAGCAGAGCTGCAATATTTGCAACTTTCAGCCGTCACATCCAACTTCAGTGAGAATTTGCTGACAGGGGTTAACTTCCTGGATGGTTTCATGGGACACGGCAAAGTTTTATTTGTATGTTAGTACTTTTGTCCCCTCATCTACACGTGTTGTCCCTGGAGAACCCGCTCAGGGCAACGACATATAGACTGGTCAGCCAAAGATCCTGGACTTCGATGACCACACATGTAGATTCTTTCTTCTTCAGCGCGTTAGACACCTTTAAAATTGTTTCATCTGGACACTAAGCATAACCTTATTTAAAAGCTTGTATCAGGCATGGATTCTCCTGTTTGGTGGTAACAGGCATCTCACCCCTTTTGCCAAAAAGTAGGACTTTGACGGTCGGACTTTAAGATTTTGCTGTAAAGCCATACAACATGTTTCTGACGGACATTTGAGCCGAATCAAATGATGACAGTGGCAGATTCTTGTTGTGCGCCTCAACATGGAGGCAGCAATGTTGAGAGTTGACAAAGGATGTACGAAGACAGGACTGAACCATGAAATACAACGCCTAGGGAAGATGTTGCTTGTCTAAGCTCCAAGCATACTTCTTGGTCTAGGGCTGAGTCTCAACAGTTCACTAGTTCTTTCATGAACAGCATTTGAAGGTTGTCACTTTGTAGGATATTCAGCTAGTGGCTTTACTCATGTTCCAAATGAGTTTTGATAGACGTTTTTATCCATACCTTGGGGATGGGCTGATAAAGAGCTAGAGGTTTTCTGGGCACTGCATTTCTGGGGCCCACCAACTCTTGAGATCCCCTGCCAGCTCAATTTTTACCCATTTGAGCCATTTTACTTGGTGCATGACTGGGACGTGTGGTAGGAGTCTTGCATGAGGATTCGTAAAACCAGCATTGAGCCTACTGATGCCCAGGGTGAGGTAAAAACTATCTCCTTATGAACATCATAACACCTGAACTTTCCCTCACACCTGTGACCGAAATCACTGTGCCAAAAGTGTCATTTGATGTCATGTACCTGTCTTTTTTTAAATGTCATGTATCTTTTTTTTTGGGGGGTGCCATATAAAAGTCTTTTTTTTTTAAAATCAGGTGTTTAATTAATAATTTGTGTTTAATGTCATATACAAGTTTTGTATTTGATTTCATGTCTTATGTCTGCTGCCATTTGTATCACATGTTTGATGCCATTCAAGTATCTTATGTTTGGTGTCATTTGTGACTTATTTTTTTATATAATTGATTTATATTTTATATTCAATGAGAGTTGTTTGATTTCACATAAATATATGTTTGAGGTCATACAAGATTTGTGTTTGATTTCATGTTAGTGTCTTACTTTAATGTCATTTGTCTTGTGTTTCATTTCATTTGAGTGTCTTATGGTTAATGTCATATAGGTGTCCTATATTTGATATCTAGTGTCTTATGTTTGATGTCTTATAAATGTTTCATGTTTTATATTAAATAAATGTCTTAAGTTTGATGACATCTACATGTCTTATGTCTGTTGTGTGTGTTGTTTTATTGGAGGGGATGGGTGTCATTTAAGTGTCTTATGTTTGGTGTTACACTGCTTTGCAGTGGGCTAGCTGTTCTGTGGAGAGAGACCAATCCATATAAGAAAAAACCTAGTGCCAAAAGTCTATCTTCTCGACTCTAACCTTTACCTTTTAAATATGCAGTAGAGTCAGGGTTAAAAAACATTGATAGATTCTGTTTTGTGTATGTTGCCTTTCTAAACATCCAGTGTATACTAAATGCTCGCTATTGTCATGTTTCTTCTGCAGCCATTTTCATCATTGGTTTCTCATTGTTGGAGAGTCTACGCACAATTCATGCATCACGCCTGCTTCATGGACTCATGCTGAGCCGGGTACTGCATGCACCCATGTCCTTCTTCGACACCACACCAGTCGGGCGCATCATCAACCGATTCTCCAAGGATATTGACGATGTGGATAATGAGATTCCCATGACATTCCTCATGTGGTTGGACTGCATGTTCGCAGTGGCATCGACAATCATCATCATCTCATACAGCACTCCGCTATTTCTGGCCTTTCTTTTGCCGGTTGCTGGTGTGTATTACTTTATTCAGGTGAGTCTGAGCAGAATTAATATCTTGTTTAATGTCACCTCAGTGAGTCTGTGCAGAATACTTGTCTTGTTTTACTTGCTATAGATCAGCCCAGTTGTCCCCAAAGGTTTGAGTGCTTGGGCACCCTGATAACCTCAGATGGAAGATGGATTAAGGAAATCAAATGTTGAGTAGCTCAAGCAAAGGCAGCATTTTACAAAATAAATTGCCAATTGAGACGAAAGTGCAAATTTTTAAAGCTTTATAAATCCTATTTTTATTTTTGGAAGTGAATCATGAACAGTTGGTAGATTATTGAAAAATTATTTAGAAGCTGCAGAGATGGGGTTTTATAGACAAATGATGAGACAGATAAAGAGAGTAAGGAAGATGTGTTGAAAGAAACAAACTCAGGAAGAGATTACCCACATCAGAAGACAATCAACATTCTTTGATCATATAATGAGAAGGAGAAAACTGGAGTACATCGTGACACTAGGAAAGCTGAAGGTTAAGAATCGCAGAAGGAGATTGAGAGAAAAGATAACTGGACAGTTTGACATCATGGCATGGAGGATCATCTGTATCAGAGTTGATTGAAAGTACACAAGACAGTCGCTTGTGGACAGACATGACTACTAGTGCTACATGGCATGGACTTAAAGAATAAGAAGAAACCTCAGTGGTAGAGGTCATGGGGTCACAGCCAGAGCCACCTGATACATTTGCTTTTTACGAAGACCCTTGGGAATGTATTACATTGAATGCTTTACCCCTGGGAATGTTTTACATTGAATGCTTTACCCCGCTACTGTGTATTGATTAAATAAATTTTGTAAGGATTTATTAGTGTGACGACTGTCGCCTCTTGCACAGGTTTTCTGCTCGGCTTGCTGTGACCATTTGTCACCACGCAAAGCACCATCGTCACACAATTTCACATGTCACTAGTTTAGTTTAGGTAAAAACTGAACTAATGACCCGTGAAATTGTTGTTGTAAGGAATTTTCCTGGAATTGATGACCCATATTTTTGAATGTTTCCAGTGTGCAGTGACTCTCAATTCTCTTCTATCGGCTCTAGTCACTGCACGCTTCTATTCACTGACTGTCAACACACGAGAAAACATGGACGCTGGTGAATGATCCAAGTTACACTTACACAGTAGTTTATTTGTTCACTCGCTGGTACTGCAGCCAGTAAATGTTATGGTACAACACAAATCACTCATATCTATCCTCACTTATCGAACATGTCAACTATACCTTATAAAAAACATTCCATCCAACAATTGAAAGAATAACGACGAGTCCATCTGATCAAAACACACTCATACTCGGCTGGCTACGACTTCCGTTAGCCGTCACTGATGGCCAGATAGGCGTTGGAAACCACTCTGCAGACACATCGGACTTGAACACACTTTCTGGATTTTGCAGACACTCCTTCATACTTCATGTGTTTATTTCCTAGGCCTAAACGAGACTGACCAACCAGCCCTTTCCAAGGCATTATATAACCTTCTAATGCACTCCTCGTGATTCTGAATTATCAGTGTTCCCCGATTCACACGAATTCCATTTGGCCAGCAGTTTCTATGTGATCCACGTGAATTTCACTAGCCAGCAATTCTTTGTAATCCACATGAAGTTCGTCTGTCAGCATTTCTCTACAATTCACGTGTTGTCCCAGTTACACTCAAAATATTCCACTCACATTTATTAGCTGACGTCATTCCGTCTGGGACATAATTTATCTAGGAGAAAATGAGGTTCACTACACAGTGCGAGAGGTATAATGATGAGAACAATTTTCTACAGTGGACCTGTTACATGATGATGATGATTCCTACTGTCATTATGGGTGCAATTACTACTCCTGCTGTTGATAAAAGTGCATTGTTAAATTATAACTGTATGTTGCTTCTACAATTATTGTTTGTTTATTTGATGTTCAGAAATATTACATAGCTACCTCACGCCAGCTGAAGCGACTGGGCTCAAAGACTCGATCCCCTATCTTCAGCCACTTTAGCGAGACTCTGGCTGGTGCAAGTGTTGTACGAGCTTTCAATGCAGAAAATTGGTTTGTGGCAGAATCCGATGCTAAAGTGGATACCAACCAGATTTTTATGTTCATAAACTACTCGGCTAATAGGTGAGTTTGAGCTTGGTTGGGTTACGTTCATGACCATAAACTACTTGACCAGTCAGTAAGTTAGGGTGTTGCTGTTAGGTTTCTTTTATGTTCATAAACTACTTGACCAGTCAGTAAGTTAGGGTGTTGCTGTTAGGTTCCTTTCATGTTCATAAAATACTCCACCAGTCAGTAAGTTAAGGTGTTGCGATTAGGTTCCTTTCATGTTCATAAACTACTCCACCGGTCAGTAAGTTAGGGTGTTGCTGTTAGGTTCCTTTCATGTTCATAAACAACTCAACCAGTCAGTAAGTTCGGGTGTTGCTGTTAGGTTCCTTTCATGTTCATAAACAACTCAACCAGTCAGTAAGTTAAGGTGTTGCTGTTAGGTTCCTTTCATGTTCATAAACAACTCAACCAGTCAGTAAGTTAAGGTGTTGCTGTTAGGTTCCTTTCATGTTCATAAACAACTCAACCAGTCAGTAAGTTAAGGTGTTGCTGTTAGATTCCTTTCATGTTCATAAACTACTCCACCAGTCAGTAAGTTCGGGTGTTGCTGTTAGGTTCCTTTCAATATTCATAAACTACTCAACCAGTCAGTAAGTTCGGGTGTTGCTGTTAGGTTCCTTTCATGTTCATAAACTACTCCACCAGTCAGTAAGTTCGGGTGTTGCTGTTAGATTCCTTTCATGTTCATAAACTACTCAACCAGTCAGTAAGTTCGGGTGTTGCTGTTAGGTTCCTTTCATGTTCATAAACTACTCCACCAGTCAGTAAGTTCGGGTGTTGCTGTTAGGTTCCTTTCAATATTCATAAACTACTCAACCAGTCAGTAAGTTCGGGTGTTGCTGTTTGGTTCCTTTCATGTTCATAAACTACTTAACTAGTCAGTAAGTTAAGGTGTTGCTGTTAGGTTCCTTTCATGTTCATAAACTGCTCCACCAGTAAGTTAGTTAGTGTATTGCTTTTAGGTTCCTTTTGTGTTCATCAACTACTTGGCCACTGAGTACGTTATCTATGTGGTCTGTCTGCCAGGTGGCTGGGTTTCCGGCTGGAGAGCGTTGGCAACATGATCATCCTGCTGGCAGCAACCATCGCTGTGGCCATGAGGGATTCCATCAGCGGAGGCATCATGGGTCTGTCCGTCACATTTGCTCTACAGGTTAGTGGTCACTTCTCAAGGGGGCACTAAAAACAAGGGTAGTAGCTTATGTGTTTTCCGTCCATCACAGGTGATGATGGCCACTCTTCCTGTCATCCGTCATGAAACTAAAGTTGTCTGTGACTCCAAAGGTGACTTATATGCCCAGTATAGGCCCGGAAGGATCTAGGAAAGCGGTGGCAGGGAACAGTGTCTTAAGGTGATGGGCCTGTGTTTGGGTCCTTTTAGCCTGCCCTCACTGTTTAGCTGCACTTTTTTCTGGATGCATCACAAGTCACTGCGTCTCTTTGGAATGATGTTTGTCATATTATCTGGTATTGTGCAACAGCCTCCCAAGTGTCAGGGTTTATACTGAAGGTTTTCAGTGATGCATTTTGCATGTCTATAAAAGTCCCTACCCCCCCCCCCCCCCCCCCCCCCCCTACCCCACCTGGCTGTGTGGCGATAGCGCAGATAGATTAGAGAGGTCTATACTATAAAGACTTCTCTACAACATGCCAGCGTCCGCAGTCTCAAGAAATGTTGGCTCGTGAAGTTATTAAGACTAGGGGGATGGCCCCGTGAGATATAAGAGACTGTGACGTGGTCATGTGACAGAAGGCAGAAAGGTAAGACTAGCTCTGGATGTTGAAAGCTTCAGGCTAGTCTAGATCTTCTGTCGCCCACCCTCCTGTCAATAGATATGAGCCCCCAGAAAGATACGTAGGGAAAGGATGAGAAAGATATCTTTCACACTCTTTCTCTCCAAGCCCACTCTTACCGTAGTATATAAAAACTAGACGAGGTGGGTGAACAGTTGACAATCATACATTGCAATAGGTATAAAATTCTAGTAGGTGATTGGCTTAAAATACAGTTTTCTTCCTCGGTGAGGAGTTAGCTTTGGATGGCAGATTCAGGCTCGTGGGGCAACACAGTCACCTGATGTATCTTTAGGTGAAGTCCTTGGTGGTTCGGTCTCCCGCCTGGTTGCTCCTCACAAATAGGAATTCTTCCCTGAAGGCTGGAACTAGTACTTATGGGTCAGAGCCCTTAAAATTCCACTCACAGTGGTTAAATTATAGTGTTCATCATTTAACTTTGCCATCCAGTGGCTTACAATAAAAAACAATGCAGAACTTTGTTGTGTAGTTGTTTCGTGACACAGCCGGGCTGGAATGAGACAAGAACAAAAACAACCGCTTGTGAGAGTGTGCCTCTAAATTGCCTGGCTACTATCCATAATACTTAACTAACTCTCTTCACCTCAGCTTCTGACAACTCTATTCATTTGAGTTGTCACATCGCTTCATATGTGAATCTCAATGTATATTTTATTTTCATTAACCCGGTGACTGGGTTACTCAGACCCGCCATGGTTATGACAATCCTGACACTTCAAAATTTACATACACCCACACACACAACTATATATATGTTTATATTTTTCACTCCCCCTCTATGGGGTTCAATCCATTTCAATCTTTCCAGTTACATTCCCACTCATGTGGTTTAAGGCTTCAGACATTACAATCCCACCATTGGGTTAATACCTTCACCAATTATAATTCCACCCATGTGGGTTAATTCATTCACACTATAGTTCCCACCCATGTAGTTTAATGCATTTACAAATTATAGTTCCCACCCATGTGGTTTACGACATTCACACATTATCATCCCACCATGTGGTTTAAGACATTCACAAATTATCATCCCACCATGTGGTAAATACATTTCCCCGTTTATGGGCATACATCATTCTCCATATTCATTATTTCCCCAATTACTCTGGGTACCCTTAGTACTATAAATTACCTACGTCCACACATTCAGCACAGCAATTCACCACACGTTAATTGCGTATTGGGTGGTGGCAGTTGGAACCACACTACCATACAAGGACACTTGTTGGATCTTCAGAAATCCTGAAAAACGCAAAGCAACAGCCATGAGCGAACCGTACTCAACGTACCTATATAATCAAGGTCCTTACTTCCTCCCAATGCTCAGACATACTTAAGGTTATCCCAAACCATGAAGGTTGGTTACCTCTATCTTAGAATCTCTTTAGTTTCCTAATGTGAGCACTAGATCATGAACTCCTACACCGACCTGCACAGACAGTAGTGACTGTTTTTTTTTCTTTCTGAAGGTTGTGGTGGTAGTGGTAGTAGTAGTACTGGTACTGGAAGGGTGATGTGGTAGCTGTTACACTGGCCAAATTTACTTCTCATTACACATTAATGCTATCCATCTGTCTCTGGGTGGACACGGATGCAAAGCTCATTTAGTTACAATATTTCATCAGATGATGACTTTCCCATCCTTCGGCGAGGATGATATGATTAGTGGGGGAGGGGGAGAGGGGTTGATGCCACACTGTTAACTGAGAGAGCTTACAACATTATTTTAAAGTTATCATTTCATAACTATTTCTATTTTAATAATTTCACCAAGTGATAATTTTTTATTCCTTCGGAGAGGGTCATATTATTGGCGGCATGGGGGGGGGGGGGGGGGGGGTGTTTATGCCAGACACTGTTAGCTGAGAGAGCTTAAAACATTATTTTCAAGTTCTCATTTCTTAACTATTTCTATTTCAATACTTTCGCCAGGGATGATTTTTCAATCCTTCGGAGAGGGAGACATGACTGGGTGGAGGGGAGATGGAAGGGGGGTGAGGGTTATGACAAACACTGTTAGTTGAGAGCTACTTTCTTTCTTTTCCATTTCACCATTCGGAGCCACAGCAACGTGTGGCAGGGCACAGCTAGTATCACCATAAAAAGATATTTCTGACTAGCTAAAATAGTTAATGGGACAATTGACGAGTTTGGTACCTTGATAACAGCAAATGGAAGCTATATTGAAGAAGTTAAATGTAGAATAGCTCAAGTAAAGGTGGCATTTGACAAAATGAAGAATATTCTGTGCAATCTGTTTTGTCAGTTGAGATGAGAATGAGAATTCTCAAGAGTTCTGTAAATCCTATCCTAATATATGCAAGTGAATTATGGAAGCAAATGTGGGTGACTGTCATGTCTTTCACAAATGAAACAGGTCTCCTTGGGTCAGACTCATGAGAACTGCTAGATTCTCTAACAGCTGACCACTCAGCTACCATTGAAGTAAATTCAGTGTCCAGATTACTTTCTGAATAATTGAAATATTCATTATCAAAATTAAAAGCATCTGACTGAAACAGTTTTAGAGCTCCAGCCACAGAAAGGTGCATTTTACAGCTTGTACTTGTGGTTGGAGCATTGGTATCAGGCCTCAGTTAAATCATCCAGTTTCTGATGAAAAGGCAGTAAAATTATCCAGTAGGTAATAATATTTCAGAAAAATGATCCAGTTTCCATAAAATGATTGTAAAATTGTTTAGTTTCTAATGAAAGGTCAATTAGATGACACAGTTGCTGCTAAAAAGAATGGTTTTCATTTATTGTGTCACTCATGGTAAACCTGAATTCTCTTGCTTCATCTTTAAATAAAAAGAATGGTTTTCATTTATTTTGTCACTCATGGTAAACCTGAATTCTCTTGCTTCATCTTTAAATAAAAAGAATGGTTTTCATTTATTGTGTCACTCATGGTAAACCTGAATTCTCTTGCTTCATCTTTAAATAAAAAGAATGGTTTTCATTTATTGTGTCACTCGTGGTAAACCTGAATTCTCTTGCTTCATCTTTAAATAAAAAGAATGGTTTTCATTTATTGTGTCACTCATGGTAAACCTGAATTCTCTTGCTTCATCTTTAAATAAAAAGAATGGTTTTCATTTATTGTGTCACTCATGGTAAACCTGAATTCTCTTGCTTCATCTTTAAATAAAAAGAATGGTTTTCATTTATTGTGTCACTCATGGTAAACCTGAATTCTCTTGCTTCATCTTTAAATAAAAAGAATGGTTTTCATTTATTGTGTCACTCATGGTAAACCTGAATTCTCTTGCTTCATCTTTAAATAAAAAGAATGGTTTTCATTTATTGTGTCACTCATGGTAAACCTGAATTCTCTTGCTTCATCTTTAAATAAAAAGAATGGTTTTCATTTATTGTGTCACTCATGGTAAACCTGAATTCTCTTGCTTCATCTTTAAATAAAAAGAATGGTTTTCATTTATTGTGTCACTCATGGTAAACCTGAATTCTCTTGCTTCATCTTTAAATAAAAAGAATGGTTTTCATTTATTGTGTCACTCATGGTAAACCTGAATTCTCTTGCTTCATCTTTAAATAAAAAGAATGGTTTTCATTTATTGTGTCACTCATGGTAAACCTGAATTCTCTTGCTTCATCTTTAAATAAAAAGAATGGTTTTCATTTATTGTGTCACTCGTGGTAAACCTGAATTCTCTTGCTTCATCTTTAAATAATTAAATATGTTCATTCTTAGATTACAGAAAACCTTAACTGGTTGGTGATGTTGACCAGTGACATGGAGACACAAATTGTTTCGGTGGAGAGAATCATGGAGTATACAACGATCGACATGGAAGTGAGTGGCCACTGTCTGTACTTTCATTTAGTTAGTCAAGTATCACTGTCATTGCACTTGAGTATCTCAATAAGTGTTCAGTCTCCTTCCATTGAGCACACAGAAAATCTACGGCCATGCCACGTTGAAAATACCGGTTCTTGTCTGATCACCCAAGTCAAGCAATGTCTGGCGTGGTTAGTACTTAGATGGGTGACCGCTTGGGAACACCACATGTTGTAGACACCTTTTATCCACCGGGTCTGGCTGGCGTAAAGGGAAATGAGCGAGCGGACTAACTGGCAAACACTGCACTAATGATTGCGGGAAAAAGCATGGACAGAGCAGATATCGTCAACGCTGTACGGGCTGGGCTAGTGGATAATGAGGAATCCCTGACACTGGCACGATTGCGTGACATGGGAGTAAAGCATGGTGAAGCACGTCTTTGCTTCAGCATGGTGAAGCACGTCTTTGCTGTCGTCGAGGCCGAGATAGGAGATAATATAACCAGCTTCTCTTGGGGACAATTAGTAGAAGTACTTTGAAGTGGCTGCTGCATCGGAGGACTGAACACGCATGGAAATTCCCAATGTGCAGTGACGTCCATTGTGATAACAGAAAATAACATAACATCTTGTAGGGAGTCGGCAGTCCAAAACCCAAGTTCAAGGTGTCTCCTTCATGCCAAAGAACTGCATGGCTGTTGGGTGAACAGTCGTTAACGAAGGCAGTCAGGTCATTGATGCTTGCTGATGAATGTAATGTCCTAAATCCCTTTCCCCAGCTAATAGTGAGGGTACTGCTGGGGTGACCGTTCATTAATCCTCACATAATGCTTCAGGTCAAAATGGACGATAGGCACGGCCACTTCTTTTAGCCGTGGCAAATTTTTTTGCTTCTGGCAGACGGTGGCCGTTGCACTTTTGCTCCATTTATAGTTTCATTGCCCAGCTTCTAAGTTGAGTGCATGGCATGACACTGTGAGCTGTGAATTTCATTTGGACTGTGATAAACATTTTGTGTGTTTTTCATTGGCACAGGAGCGGAGCAACTATGGGGTGACCCGTTTGCTATGAAGCTGAAACTAAGATTACCAGATTACCAGATTTACACAGAAAATCTCAGCACAGAGCACATCTCCTGCTGTACCTGGGGGGGGGGGGGGGGGGGGGGGGGGTCCAAATGTGTGAACACAAGAATCATATGTGCTTTAAATATTTTGTAGTGCTTAGCTTGTCTCATTTAGAAATTCAGCCTAGGCAGCTACCTTTTGACATGCCTTTTTTGGGTCAACATTTCTAGCCGCCAATGGATTTTTAATTGTGCAATATACACATGAGTCCTCTAAGTTGTTCACCCTTGTCTGAAAAGGCTAGATGTCTATTTCACTACCCTAGATTGAGGGTGAATATACTATCTTTTCATACTCACTTTGTGAAATTCCAAACTGTCAACTAGGTCTGCTCTAGCCAGATGAAGATGTAACAACCTCCAATCTTCTGCCTAGTGGCTGGGTGCTACGGTCGGCAGGAGCCTGAACTGTGTGGCAGAGTTTATTTGCAGATGTTTATACTAGAGCACTTGCTATGTTCCACTTGCAGGCTTCCTGGGAGAACACTTTATACCAGAGCCCTATTGACTGGCCCAGTCAGGGACATGTTCAAGTGGAAGCCTTGAGTCTTCGCTACCGGGATGGCCTGGACCTTGTCTTGAAAGCTGTTAGTTTTGAAGTTCAGCCTGGGGAGAAGGTATTGGATTTCCTTCTGATATTTCTTTTTTTTTTTCTCTTTGTCATGCTACCTGTCTATCTCTATATATTTCTCCTTTCCTTTACCTTTGTCATGCTACCTGTCTATCTCTATATATTTCTCCTTTCTTTTAACTTTGTAGATTTATCTGTTATTTTTCATCTTCAGTCGCTCTTTCTTTTCCTCTATAATCTCTCTCTTTAAAAAAAAATTCTTTTTTTTTTCTTTCTGCATCTTTTTTCTTTTTCTCAATACAGCTCTCTTTCTTTTCTTCTATAATTTCTATTTTCCTCTATTTGTTTTCCTCTATAGACTGCTCTTTCTTTCTCTCAATGGCCATTAAATGTTCTCACAGCTAGCAGTGGATGTCAGTACTCCCTATAGCCGACCTCCACTGGGGAGACGTCGCACACAAATGTCTCTCTCATAATAAGTCACTGTCTCTTTTGTGCTCTCCGCTGATATCTGATCTGTCTCTCATCTGTTCATGTGATCTTTCTCTTCAGTGTATTCTATGTCTCTTTCTGTCTCTTTATTTGTTTGACTTGCTCTCTAACTCTGTCGCTCTCTCTCTGTTCCCCCCCCCCTTTCCCTTTCTGTATCTCTGTTCCTATTAATCTTTCTCAATACCAGCATTATTCACAAGCCACTTGTACACATTTTTGATGAGTATGTATGCTTGTGTATGTTGTATCAGTGTGTGTTGTCTGTGTATGTTGTGTCTGTGTGAACATGTTGTGACTCTGTGTGTTTTTGTCATAAAGTTTGTTCACTGTCTCTCTCTTTCTCTCATTCACACACACACATGCAGCACATACACACGCATGCAGGCACACACACTCATATAGTGCCCAGTTTTGAACCATTTGGAAATAAAGTTTTGTTTTCTCTTTCTTTCTAGTGAATCTGTTTCTGATTGTAAATACAATTATTTTCAGGTTGGTATAGTTGGACGCACAGGGGCTGGCAAATCTTCTCTAACACTGGCTCTCTTTCGATTGGTGGAACCAGTTGGTGGCAGAATTCTTATAGACAATATAGACATCAGCATGCTGGGATTGCATGACCTGAGGTCAAAGGTCACCATTCTCCCACAGGTGCAGTGTCTTATGTTTTTCAGGAACTATACAGAGTATTATGTTATACAAATGTGTGCTAGGGGGATATGATTGATACAAGTATTGAGTTAGATTTCTGGAAACGGACTTCATTGGGCTGTGTTGTACAGGGAAAGGGGGGGGGGGGCGCATCTAGAAGGATAAAGGAGAATGTAATTGCAGATAGGGTAATAGTGGAGAAGAAGTACAATCTTCCTCACAATGCAGCACCATAAATTGTATGTTTTATGAAAAGAACTGATAGAGAATCTCTAAGCAGGCACTGAAATATATATTTTATAGTTCAGCCTATGTTTATTAACATTTGCCAAGACAACATGTAGATAAAAACATACAACAGTCAATTAAGCTCTAAGTATGACACTGAAGCAAGGTTAGGTCAAACTCATTGCGCTATCCAAAGCCCTTGCTCCTCACTAAGTCATCTTGTTCCGGGGGAAGGGGGGTAGCATCCTTTTGTCACTGAGTGTTGGCTCGAGGCTTCTCGTTAGTTTCCTGCCGTAACGGGTGATAAAAAACAGTCTTGGTCTCACAGTATCTCTTGCTGGCTTGCCTCTGTGTCCATCTCCTTACAGGGACACTGCCAGTATCTCTTGCTGGCTTGCCTCTGTGTCCATCTCCTCACTGCCAGTATCTCTTGCTAGCTTGCCTCTATGTCCATCTCCTCACTGCCAGTATCTCTTGCTAGCTTGCCTCTGTGTCCATCTCCTCACTGCCAGTATCTCTTGCTAGCTTGCCTCTATGTCCATCTCCTCACTGCCAGTATCTCTTGCTAGCTTGCCTCTGTGTCCACCTCCTCACTGCCAGTATCTCTTGCTAGCTTGCCTCTGTGTCCATCTCCTCACTGCCAGTATCTCTTGCTAGCTTGCCTCTGTGTCCATCTCCTCACTGCCAGTATCTCTTGCTGGCTTGCCTCTATGTCCATCTCCTCACTGCCAGTATCTCTTGCTGGCTTGCCTCTGTGTCCATCTCCTCACTGCCAGTATCTCTTGCTGGCTTGCCTCTGTGTCCATCTCCTCACTGCCAGTATCTCTTGCTAGCTTGCCTCTGTGTCCATCTCCTTACTGCCAGTATCTCTTGCTAGCTTGCCTCTGTGTCCATCTCATTACTGCCAGTATCTCTTGCTAGCTTGCCTCTATGTCCATCTCCTCACAGGGACACTCCCAGTATCTCTTGCAAGCTTGCCTCTGTGTCCATCTCCTCACTGCCAGTATCTCTTGCTAGCTTGCCTCTGTGTCCATCTCCTTACTGCCAGTATCTCTTGCTAGCTTGCCTCTGTGTCCATCTCCTTACTGCCAGTATCTCTTGCTAGCTTGCCTCTGTGTCCACCTCCTCACTGCCAGTATCTCTTGCTAGCTTGCCTCTGTGTCCATCTCCTTACTGCCAGTATCTCTTGCTAGCTTGCCTCTATGTCCATCTCCTCACAGGGACACTCCCAGTATCTCTTGCTAGCTTGTCTCTGTGTCCACCTCCTCACTGCCAGTATCTCTTGCTAGCTTGCCTCTGTGTCCACCTCCTCACTGCCAGTATCTCTTGCTGGCTTGCCTCTGTGTCCATCTCCTCACTGCCAGTATCTCTTGCTGGCTTGCCTCTGTGTCCATCTCCTCACAGGGACACTCCCAGTATCTCTTGCTAGCTTGCCTCTGTGTCCACCTCCTTACAGGGACACTCCCAGTATCTCTTGCTGGCTTGCCTCTGTGTCCATCTCCTCACTGCCAGTATCTCTTGCTAGCTTGTCTCTGTGTCCACCTCCTCACTGCCAGTATCTCTTGCTGGCTTGCCTCTGTGTCCTTCTCCTCACAGGGACACTGCCAGTATCTCTTGCTAGCTTGTCTCTGTGTCCACCTCCTCACTGCCAGTATCTCTTGCTAGCTTGTCTCTGTGTCCACCTCCTCACTGCCAGTATCTCTTGCTGGCTTGCCTCTGTGTCCATCTCCTCACTGCCAGTATCTCTTGCTAGCTTGTCTCTGTGTCCACCTCCTCACTGCCAGTATCTCTTGCTAGCTTGCCTCTGTGTCCACCTCCTCACTGCCAGTATCTCTTGCTGGCTTGCCTCTGTGTCCATCTCCTCACTGCCAGTATCTCTTGCTAGCTTGTCTCTGTGTCCACCTCCTCACTGCCAGTATCTCTTGCTAGCTTGCCTCTGTGTCCACCTCCTCACTGCCAGTATCTCTTGCTGGCTTGCCTCTGTGTCCATCTCCTCACTGCCAGTATCTCTTGCTAGCTTGCCTCTGTGTCCATCTCCTCACTGCCAGTATCTCTTGCTGGCTTGTCTCTGTGTCCACCTCCTCACTGCCAGTATCTCTTGCTGGCTTGCCTCTGTGTCCATCTCCTCACAGGGACACTGCCAGTATCTCTTGCTAGCTTGCCTCTGTGTCCATCTCCTCACTGACAGTATCTCTTGCTGGCTTGCCTCTGTGTCCACCTCCTCACTGCCAGTATCTCTTGCTTGCTTGTCTCTGTGTCCACCTCCTTACAGGGACACTCCCAGTATCTCTTGCTAGCTTGTCTCTGTGTCCAGCTCCTCACAGGGACACTCCCAGTATCTCTTGCTAGCTTGTCTCTGTGTCCACCTACTCACAGGGACACTCCCAGTATCTCTTACTAGCTTGCCTCTGTGTCCAGCTCATGATGCTCTTATTTCAGACTAAACTCCTGTCTCCTGAACCAACCATGCTGGTCTCACAACCTGGTCAAAGTCTGTGGTCTAACACTTGTCTATCACACTTGCCCTCTATCATACTTGTCTATCACACTTGTCCTCTATCACACTTGTCCCCTATCACACTTGTCCTCTATCACACTTGTCCTCTATCACACTTGTCCCCTATCACACTTGTCCTCTATCACACTTGTCCCCTATCACACTTGCCCTCTATCACACTTGTCCTCTATCACACTTGTCCCCTATCACACTTGTCCTCTATCACACTAGTCCTCTATCACACTTGTACCCTATCACACTTGCCCTCTATCACACTTGTCCTCTATCACACTTGCCCTCTATCACACTTGCCCTCTATCACACTTGTCCTCTTTCACACTTGTCCTCTTTCACACTTGTCCCCTATCACACTTGCCCTCTATCACACTTGTCCTCTATCACACTTGTCCTCTTTCACACTTGCCCCCTATCACACTTGTCCCCTATCACACTTGCCCTCTATCACACTTGCACTCTATCACACTTGTCCTCTTTCACACTTGTCCTCTATCACACTTGCCCTCTATCACACTTGTCCTCTATCACACTTGTCCTCTATCACACTTGCCCTCTATCACACTTGTCCTCTATCACACTTGCCCTCTATCACACTTGTCCTCTTTCACACTTGCCCTCTTTCACACTTGTCCCCTATCACACTAGTCCTCTATCACACTTGTCCTCTATCACACTTGCCCTCTATCACACTAGTCCTCTATCACACTTGTCCCCTATCACACTTGCCCTCTATCACACTTGTCCCCTATCACACTTGTCCCCTATCACACTTGCCCTCTATCACACTTGCGCTCTATCACACTAGTCCTCTATCACACTTGTCCTCTATCACACTTGTCCTCTATCACACTTTCCCTCTATCACACTAGTCCTCTATCACACTTGTCCTCTATCACACTTGCCCTCTATCACACTAGTCCTCTATCACACTTATCCTCTATCACACTTGTCCTTTATCACACTTGTCCTCTATCACACTTGTCCTCTATCACACTTGTCCTCTATCACACTTGTCCTCTATCACACTAGACATGTTTATAGAAATATTGTCACTTACACGCATTCAGATATTATGAGTTTATACTACTCTCATCTACACTTTCAAAAAAGTGAATTTTATTTGAACTGTGATAAACATTTTATGTGTTTTTCGTTGGCAAAAGAGCGGAGCAACTGTGGGGTGACCAGTTTGCTATGAAGCTGAAACTAAGATTACCAGATTACCAGAAAAAAAATTAATAGTGCCTGAATTATTGTGTTGGCATTAAAGTGAGAAACATCATCAAAGCCAAATCATTCAGAAATAAGTTTGAACACTTATTACAAAATTAAAAAGTAAAGGACCCTTTTCCATGCCTTTAGGCGTATAGGGCATATAGGGCTAGACCTATATTTTATAGACCAATCGGCACAAGATGGGTGATGTGGTCAGCATCACGCCGGCCGCCTCTACTTCCCGGGACTGCACCCGGAACCCATTCAAGGCTGGGTCAACCTGGGAGCCAAAGTCATTTTTAAAAAAAAGTCTGGCTTTGCCAGGGAGCGAACTCACAACCCTCCGATCCGCAGGCGAGCATCTAGCTGCTCCACCACGGTGGCTCCCTGAACACTTATTACACATGAAATATCGAAAACAAATCGAACAACTGCAGGCTGTCGAAGAACTGAAGATTCGTAGAAGAACCAAAGAATATTGAATAGATGTTGTCAGGTCCTAATATAGCTGATCACTGTGTGGGCCGGGCTGGGGTCTTGCCCACGGGGTTAACACCTTAATTGTGCTGCATGGATTTCTGAGGTTTTAATACCCTCATGAGATTTAAGTCTTAGTGGAGCTTTGGGTATAGTCTGTTTCAGCTAAACAAATCTTGTGTCTGAGCTAAACTAACCTCGACTAATCATCGTCAGTTTCTGACTTGACTAACTCTGGAAGCTGACAGACAGTATAGGCAAGAGAATGGATGACTAGAGTTGGAGCCCTGTGTGATGCATGACAGGATGATGGTGATGAGAAGGTACTATCAACTTGTTGCTGTTGTCTCTTTCAGGATCCCATAATATTTGCAGGGACTCTCAAAGAAAACCTGGACCCATTTGGAGAACACACTGAAGATGCTTTATGGAGAGCTCTGGAACATGCCCACCTGCGTAAATTTGTGGAGGGCCTTTCAGACAGGCTTGACCATGAGTGTGGGGAGGGGGGAGAGAATTTAAGGTGAGTGGTGGCAACCAGTGTCTGCTTGACCTGTCCTACATTCTGTTTCTATTACCCAGTGTCTGCTTGACCTGTCTTACAATCTGTTCCTATTACCCAGTGTCTGCTTGACCTGTCTTACAATCTGTTCCTATTACCCAGTGTCTGGTTGACCTGTCTTACATTCTGTTCCTATTACCTAGTGTCTGGTTGACCTGTCTTACATTCTGTTCCTATTACCCAGTGTCTGCTTGACCTGTCTTACAATCTGTTCCTATTACATGGTGTCTGGTTGACCTGTCTTACATTCTGTTCCTATTACCCAGTGTCTGCTTGACCTGTCCTACATTCTGTTCCTATTACCCAGTGTCTGGTTGACTTGTCTTACAATCTGTTCCTATTACCCAGTGTCTGGTTGACTTGTCTTACATTCTGTTTCTATTACCCAGTGTCTGGTTGACCTGTCTTACATTCTGTTCCTATTACTCAGTGTCTGGTTGACTTGTCTTGCATTCTGTTTCTATTACCCAGTGTCTGGTTGACCTGTCTTACAATCTGTTCCTATTACCCAGTGTCTGCTTGACCTGTCTTACAATCTGTTCCTATTACCCAGTGTCTTGTTGACCTGTCTTACATTCTGTTCCTATTACTCAGTGTCTGGTTGACTGGTCTTGCATTCTGTTTCTATTACCCAGTGTCTGGTTGACCTGTCTTACAATCTGTTCCTATTACCCAGTGTCTGCTTGACCTGTCTTACAATCTGTTCCTATTACCCAGTGTCTTGTTGACCTGTCTTACATTCTGTTCCTATTACTCAGTGTCTGGTTGACTTGTCTTGCATTCTGTTTCTATTACCCAGTGTCTGGTTGACCTGTCTTACAATCTGTTCCTATTACCCAGTGTCTGCTTGACCTGTCTTACAATCTGTTCCTATTACCCAGTGTCTTGTTGACCTGTCTTACATTCTGTTCCTATTACTCAGTGTCTGGTTGACTTGTCTTGCATTCTGTTTCTATTACCCAGTGTCTGGTTGACCTGTCTTACATTTTGTTCCTATTACCCAGTGTCTGCTTGACCTGTCTTACAATCGGTTCCTATTACCCAGTGTCTTGTTGACCTGTCTTACATTCTGTTCCTATTACTCAGTGTCTGGTTGACTTGTCTTGCATTCTGTTTCTATTACCCAGTGTCTGGTTGACCTGTCTTACAATCTGTTCCTATTACCCAGTGTCTGCTTGACCTGTCTTACAATCTGTTCCTATTACCCAGTGTCTTGTTGACCTGTCTCACATTCTGTTCCTATTACTCAGTGTCTGGTTGACTGGTCTTGCATTCTGTTTCTATTACCCAGTGTCTGGTTGACCTGTCTTACAATCTGTTCCTATTACCCAGTGTCTGCTTGACCTGTCTTACAATCTGTTCCTATTACCCAGTGTCTTGTTGACCTGTCTTACATTCTGTTCCTATTACTCAGTGTCTGGTTGACTTGTCTTGCATTCTGTTTCTATTACCCAGTGTCTGCTTGACCTGTCTTACAATCTGTTCCTATTACCCAGTGTCTGCTTGACCTGTCTTACAATCTGTTCCTATTACCCAGTGTCTTGTTGACCTGTCTTACATTCTGTTCCTATTACTCAGTGTCTGGTTGACTGGTCTTGCATTCTGTTTCTATTACCCAGTGTCTGGTTGACCTGTCTTACAATCTGTTCCTATTACCCAGTGTCTGCTTGACCTGTCTTACAATCTGTTCCTATTACCCAGTGTCTTGTTGACCTGTCTTACATTCTGTTCCTATTACTCAGTGTCTGGTTGACTTGTCTTGCATTCTGTTTCTATTACCCAGTGTCTGGTTGACCTGTCTTACAATCTGTTCCTATTACCCAGTGTCTGCTTGACCTGTCTTACAATCTGTTCCTATTACCCAGTGTCTTGTTGACCTGTCTTACATTCTGTTCCTATTACTCAGTGTCTGGTTGACTTGTCTTGCATTCTGTTTCTATTACCCAGTGTCTGGTTGACCTGTCTTACAATCTGTTCCTATTACCCAGTGTCTGCTTGACCTGTCTTACAATCTGTTCCTATTACCCAGTGTCTTGTTGACCTGTCTTACATTCTGTTCCTATTACTCAGTGTCTGGTTGACTTGTCTTGCATTCTGTTTCTATTACCCAGTGTCTGGTTGACCTGTCTTACATTCTGTTCCTATTACCCAGTGTCTGCTTGACCTGTCTTACAATCTGTTCCTATTACCCAGTGTCTTGTTGACCTGTCTTACATTCTGTTCCTATTACTCAGTGTCTGGTTGACTTGTCTTGCATTCTGTTTCTATTACCCAGTGTCTGGTTGACCTGTCTTACAATCTGTTCCTATTACCCAGTGTCTGCTTGACCTGTCTTACAATCTGTTCCTATTACCCAGTGTCTTGTTGACCTGTCTTACATTCTGTTCCTATTACTCAGTGTCTGGTTGACTTGTCTTGCATTCTGTTTCTATTACCCAGTGTCTGGTTGACCTGTCTTACATTCTGTTCCTATTCCTATTCCTATATTATTTGTGATTGTGTTTAATTGGGAAACTGACTGGTTCTACTTCTTGCTTAGATGTGTTCCCCTGTCAAATATCTAATGTTTGTGATTGTGAGAACAAATTAAATGTGTTTGCCGTCGACCCACAATCAAAGTCGGCTGCAGTTTACCCACTCCTTACTATCTTTAGGAACGTTGCAGGGTGTGGCCCCACTGTCTTGTGACTCATACCATTGTCCACAAACCACAACCCTTTTTTTTTTTTAAATGTAAGCCTTCCAGCACGGAAATTTAACCCTGGTATGTCAAGTGTAATGACTCTCTTTTCTCTTAAACTCTGGCTGTAATCAGTTTCAGACTTCTCACTCCTAGACTGTCGTAATGTAGCTCAACAGGTTGAAAAATGAGCAAATCTACACTGTCCCAGAGTCGACACAGACTCACACAAGATTAAAAGCAAGACTAATCATTCTAGATCCTTCCAGGCATTTCATAATCTTTCTCACCCATTTTCTGGGTCACCCACGCCCGTGATACTCACACTCTCTCGTTTGAAACGGGTTAGGCAATTTGCTCCTTTGGCCAACATTTTCTGCTCTCGTTTGGCACAGGTTAGGCAATTTGCTCCTTTGGCCAACATTTTCTGCTCTCATTTGGCTCGGGTTAGACAATATGCTCCTTTGGCCAACATTTTCTGCTCTCGTTTGGCACGGGTTAGGCAATTTGCTCCTTTGGCCAACATTTTCTGCTCTCGTTTGGCACAGGTTAGGCAATTTGCTCCTTTGGCCAACATTTTCTGCTCTCATTTGGCTCGGGTTAGACAATATGCTCCTTTGGCCAACATTTTCTGCTCTCGTTTGGCACGGGTTAGGCAATTTGCTCCTTTGGCCAACATTTTCTGTGTGCCATGATTGATCCTCAGTAAATTCAAATACATAATTCATATTCATTATCTGACCTCATTCCTACTGGAAACATAAATTATTGAAGAGAAAATGATTCACATCTCAAGGATGTTAATATTATGATGCTATTTCTTTCACAAGTATCTTATGTAATAAATCACTCTCATTAAACATCAGAAAACAAGTCCTGAAATGTTCCATCGAGCCTCTTCTTTTGAGTGGCAGTGAATCTTGGAATGTAAGCAAACAAATTAAGAAGAACCTAGAGGCAACTGAGATGTGGTTCTTGAGAAGAATGTTGCGAATACCTTGGACTGCCAGAATAACTAACAATGATTGCCTGGAAACGGCTAATGGAAGTAGAACATTATAAACAACAATGAGAAGGAGACAAAGTTCTTTGGTCATGTGATGAGAAAACGAGCACTGGAAAGTATCGTGACAATTGAAAAGATCACTGGTAAAAGAGACAGAGGCAGACCAAAAGAAATGATGGTGGATGACTTAAGACAGTGGCATGGAGGAATATCTTCAGCGGAATTGATCCAGAGCACCAAAGACCAAGATCTGTGGAGATGCATGAAAACCCTAGCCAGCTGGCAAGGCACTTGATGATGATGATCTCTGTTATCTTCTTCTTCTTCTTCTTCTTCGCATTCACCAGCTGTACACTCTGGCGGAAAGTTCTGGTTGCTCGTCCACTACTGAACTGCAGTCCTGCTCCAGAACCTGAGTGTTGCTTGTGCATCAGTTTTACAGATCTCATTCTCTTGAATACAGACTGTTGGTTCCTTGCCTCTCCGGCAGATGCACTCCGACTTCAAAGGAAGCTCCCCAATTAGTCGACTCTTACGACATGCTTTTGGGGAGGCAGTGGGTCTATTCTTGTTTTCCCCACAACGGGACCCCGGAACCCACACGGGGGGATCTCTGTTATATTTATGATGTTATCATATGTTAAACAATGTATTCATCGGTGAGTCTTGACACTCTGCAGTGTGGGACAGAGACAGTTGCTGTGCCTTGGTCGCGCTCTTCTTCGGAAGACTCAGATTTTAATTCTGGATGAGGCCACTGCTGCAGTGGACATGGAAACAGACGAGCTGATCCAGGAGACGATCAGGCAGGAGTTCAAGAACTGCACTATCCTGACCATAGCTCACAGGCTGAACACTGTCATGGATTATAACAGGTAGGTCATGAAACAGCTGGGGAATTTAGGTAACTGACAGGTGGGGAATTCAGGTAACTGAACAGCTGGGGAATTCAGATAACTAAACAGCTAATTACTTGCTTTTTAAAGCTGTTGTACTATAAACAAAGTTGAGTCTAACATCTGTCCATATCCCAGTTTTATAGGTTGAGATGGGAAATGGAACCTGACTAGTGATAACACTTTATTCTTCTTCTTCTGCTGCTGCTGTTGCTGTTGCTACTTCTGCTGCTGCTGTTGCTGTTGCTGCTTCTGCTGTTGCTGCTTCTGCTGCTGCTGCTGCTCAGTGTTCACTTACTGGAAATTCTGTTGGAAATTTCTGGTTCTTCATCCACCTCTGGACTTTGATCTTGTACTAGAACTTGAGTTTTGCAAGCACATCCAATTGATTGTTCTGTTGGTTCCTTGCCTCTCAGATGGAAGCACATCCAATTGATTGTTCTGTTGGTTCCTTGCCTCTCAGATGCAAGCACATCCAGTTGATTGTTCTGTTGGTTCCTTGCCTCTCAGATGGAAGCACATCCAATTGATTGTTCTGTTGGTTCCTTGCCTCTCAGATGGAAGCACATCCAGTTGATTGTTCTGTTGGTTCCTTGCCTCTCAGATGCAAGCACATCCAGTTGATTGTTCTGTTGGTTCCTTGCCTCTCAGATGCAAGCACATCCAGTTGATTGTTCTGTTGGTTCCTTGCCTCTCAGATGGAAGCACATCCAGTTGATTGTTCTGTTGGTTCCTTGCCTCTCAGATGCAAGCACATCCAGTTGATTGTTCTGTTGGTTCCTTGCCTCTCAGATGCAAGCACATCCAGTTGATTGTTCTGTTGGTTCCTTGCCTCTCAGATGCAAGCACATCCAGTTGAGGGTTCTGTTGGTTCCTTGCCTCTCAGATGGAAGCACATCCAGTTGAGGGCTCTGTTGGTTCCTTGCCTCTCAGATGGAAGCACATCCAGTTGATTGTTCTGTTGGTTCCTTGCCTCTCAGATGCAAGCACATCCAGTTGAGGGTTCTGTTGGTTCCTTGCCTCTCAGATGGAAGCACATCCAGTTGATTGTTCTGTTGGTTCCTTGCCTCTCAGATGGAAGCACATCCAGTTGATTGTTCTGTTGGTTCCTTGCCTCTCAGATGGAAGCACATCCAGTTGATTGTTCTGTTGGTTCCTTGCCTCTCAGATGGAAGCACATCCAGTTGATTGTTCTGTTGGTTCCTTGCCTCTCAGATGGAAGCACATCCAGTTGATTGTTCTGTTGGTTCCTTGCCTCTCAGATGGAAGCACATCCAGTTGAGGGCTCTGTTGGTTCCTTGCCTCTCAGATGGAAGCACATCCAGTTGATTGTTCTGTTGGTTCCTTGCCTCTCAGATGGAAGCACATCCAGTTGATTGTTCTGTTGGTTCCTTGCCTCTCAGATGGAAGCACATCCAGTTGATTGTTCTGTTGGTTCCTTGCCTCTCAGATGGAAGCACATCCAGTTGAGGGCTCTGTTGGTTCCTTGCCTCTCAGATGCAAGCACATCCAGTTGATTGTTCTGTTGGTTCCTTGCCTCTCAGATGGAAGCACATCCAGTTAAGGGCTCTGTTGGTTCCTTGCCTCTCAGATGGAAGCACATCCAGTTGAGGGTTCTGTTGGTTCCTTGCCTCTCAGATGAAAGCACATCCAGTTGAGGATTCTGTTGGTTCCTTGCCTCTCAGATGGAAGCACATCCAGTTGATTGTTCTGTTGGTTCCTTGCCTCTCAGATGGAAGCACATCCAGTTGAGGATTCTGTTGGTTCCTTGCCTCTCAGATGGAAGCACATCCAGTTGATTGTTCTGTTGGTTCCTTGCCTCTCAGATGGAAGCACATCCAGTTGAGGATTCTGTTGGTTCCTTGCCTCTCAGATGGAAGCACATCCAGTTGATTGTTCTGTTGGTTCCTTGCCTCTCAGATGGAAGCACATCCAGTTGATTGTTCTGTTGGTTCCTTGCCTCTCAGATGGAAGCACATCCAGTTGAGGATTCTGTTGGTTCCTTGCCTCTCAGATGGAAGCACATCCAGTTGAGGATTCTGTTGGTTCCTTGCCTCTCAGATGGAAGCACATCCAGTTGATTGTTCTGTTGGTTCCTTGCCTCTCAGATGGAAGCACATCCAGTTGATTGTTCTGTTGGTTCCTTGCCTCTCAGATGGAAGCACATCCAGTTGATTGTTCTGTTGGTTCCTTGCCTCTCAGATGGAAGCACATCCAGTTGAGGATTCTGTTGGTTCCTTGCCTCTCAGATGGAAGCACATCCAGTTGATTGTTCTGTTGGTTCCTTGCCTCTCAGATGGAAGCACATCCAGTTGATTGTTCTGTTGGTTCCTTGCCTCTCAGATGCAAGCACAGCCAATTGATTGTTCTGTTGGTTCCTTGCCTCTCAGATGGAAGCACATCCAGTTGATTGTTCTGTTGGTTCCTTGCCTCTCAGATGGAAGCACATCCAGTTGAGGGTTCTGTTGGTTCCTTGCCTCTCAGATGGAAGCACATCCAGTTGATTGTTCTGTTGGTTCCTTGCCTCTCAGATGCAAGCACAGCCAATTGAGGGCTCTGTTGGTTCCTTGCCCATCAGATGGAAGCACATCCAGTTGATTGTTCTGTTGGTTCCTTGCCTCTCAGATGGAAGCACATCCAGTTGATTGTTCTGTTGGTTCCTTGCCTCTCAGATGGAAGCACATCCAGTTGATTGTTCTGTTGGTTCCTTGCCTCTCAGATGGAAGCACATCCAGTTGAGGATTCTGTTGGTTCCTTGCCTCTCAGATGGAAGCACATCCAGTTGAGGGTTCTGTTGGTTCCTTGCCTCTCAGATGGAAGCACATCCAGTTGAGGGTTCTGTTGGTTCCTTGCCTCTCAGATGGAAGCACATCCAGTTGATTGTTCTGTTGGTTCCTTGCCTCTCAGATGGAAGCACATCCAGTTGAGGGTTCTGTTGGTTCCTTGCCTCTCAGATGGAAGCACATCCAGTTGAGGGTTCTGTTGGTTCCTTGCCTCTCAGATGGAAGCACATCCAGTTGAGGGTTCTGTTGGTTCCTTGCCTCTCAGATGGAAGCACATCCAGTTGATTGTTCTGTTGGTTCCTTGCCTCTCAGATGGAAGCACATCCAGTTGAGGGTTCTGTTGGTTCCTTGCCTCTCAGATGGAAGCACATCCAGTTGATTGTTCTGTTGGTTCCTTGCCTCTCAGATGGAAGCACATCCAGTTGAGGGTTCTGTTGGTTCCTTGCCTCTCAGATGGAAGCACATCCAGTTGAGGGTTCTGTTGGTTCCTTGCCTCTCAGATGGAAGCACATCCAGTTGAGGGTTCTGTTGGTTCCTTGCCTCTCAGATGGAAGCACATCCAGTTGATTGTTCTGTTGGTTCCTTGCCTCTCAGATGGAAGCACATCCAGTTGAGGATTCTGTTGGTTCCTTGCCTCTCAGATGGAAGCACATCCAGTTGAGGGTTCTGTTGGTTCCTTGCCTCTCAGATGGAAGCACATCCAGTTGAGGGTTCTGTTGGTTCCTTGCCTCTCAGATGGAAGCACATCCAGTTGATTGTTCTGTTGGTTCCTTGCCTCTCAGATGGAAGCACATCCAGTTGAGGGTTCTGTTGGTTCCTTGCCTCTCAGATGGAAGCACATCCAGTTGAGGATTCTGTTGGTTCCTTGCCTCTCAGATGGAAGCACATCCAGTTGAGGGTTCTGTTGGTTCCTTGCCTCTCAGATGGAAGCACATCCAGTTGAGGGTTCTGTTGGTTCCTTGCCTCTCAGATGGAAGCACATCCAGTTGATTGTTCTGTTGGTTCCTTGCCTCTCAGATGGAAGCACATCCAGTTGAGGGTTCTGTTGGTTCCTTGCCTCTCAGATGGAAGCACATCCAGTTGATTGTTCTGTTGGTTCCTTGCCTCTCAGATGGAAGCACATCCAGTTGAGGGTTCTGTTGGTTCCTTGCCTCTCAGATGGAAGCACATCCAGTTGATTGTTCTGTTGGTTCCTTGCCTCTCAGATGGAAGCACATCCAGTTGAGGGTTCTGTTGGTTCCTTGCCTCTCAGATGGAAGCACATCCAGTTGAGGGTTCTGTTGGTTCCTTGCCTCTCAGATGGAAGCACATCCAGTTGAGGGTTCTGTTGGTTCCTTGCCTCTCAGATGGAAGCACATCCAGTTGAGGGTTCTGTTGGTTCCTTGCCTCTCAGATGGAAGCACATCCAGTTGAGGGTTCTGTTGGTTCCTTGCCTCTCAGATGGAAGCACATCCAGTTGATTGTTCTGTTGGTTCCTTGCCTCTCAGATGGAAGCACATCCAGTTGAGGGTTCTGTTGGTTCCTTGCCATTCAGATGGAAGCATATCCAGTTGAGGGTTCTGTTGGTTCCTTGCCTCTCAGATGGAAGCACATCCAGTTGAGGGTTCTGTTGGTTCCTTGCCTCTCAGATGGAAGCACATCCAGTTGAGGGTTCTGTTGGTTCCTTGCCTCTCAGATGGAAGCACATCCAGTTGAGGGTTCTGTTGGTTCCTTGCCTCTCAGATGGAAGCACATCCAGTTGAGGGTTCTGTTGGTTCCTTGCCTCTCAGATGGAAGCACATCCAGTTGAGGGTTCTGTTGGTTCCTTGCCTCTCAGATGGAAGCACATCCAGTTGAGGGTTCTGTTGGTTCCTTGCCTCTCAGATGGAAGCACATCCAGTTGAGGGTTCTGTTGGTTCCTTGCCTCTCAGATGCATGCACTCCAACTTTGAAGAAAGCAACCCCCCAATAAGCACTTTCTTTCAATGTGGGTGTTCTTTCTGTGGCCCCAAAATTGAGTTGAAACCCACTTGGGAGCTTTCATTGTTTTTTTGTTTTGTGTGTATGTGGATATTCTTAATAGTGTCCTATTATTATAATTTTGTTTTTCTTTCTTTACTGCAAGTGCCAATCTGTCCTGTGATTGTATTTTTAACAATTTTGATTAAGATTGAATGTATTTTTTTTTCCACTGAAATTATTTGTTTTCTCAGAATTCTGGTACTGGAGAAAGGAGAAGTGCGGGAATTTGATAGCCCCCAGACCTTGCTGAAGAAACCCAATGGGGTCTTCTATGGCTTGGCCAAAGCTGCAGGACTTGTTTGATGACTGCTGCAGTAGGACTTGTTGATGGTGAAATAGATCAGAGGTACAATCCTGCTGCTGTTCTGAGCCACGGACTGGTGGTTTGGGAATTCCTGATTGGCATTGCTGGATGGCAATGTATTGTGCCAGTGTCGCATAGATCAGGGATACATATCTTTGGTGGACTGGTTAATACCCTCTGAATGTCCTATAATTCAGAAATACCTGTCTTCTGTAGAACTAGAACTATCAAGCTTCAGGTTGAGGATATTAATTTTCCTTTGGTATAGCCATGCCCAGCCTGGTACTCATATAGATCAACGATGCTAGTTGTCCATTGGTAGAGCTAGTGTTGTCAGCATGTGGCCATCACGTGTATCAGAGGATGCAGTCTTTGACACACACAAAGGGTCAAGTGTTGGGCTCATGTAGACACAATCTATGATTCCAGTTTTGAGAGTGGTCACCAGAGTTACTAATGTTACCAGAGTTGCTAATGTCACCAGAGTTGCTAATGTTACCAGAGTTGCTAATGTTACCAGAGTTGCTAATGTCACCAGAGTTGCTAATGTTACCAGAGTTACTAATGTTACCAGAGTTGCTAATGTCACCAGAGTTGCTAATGTTACCAGAGTTGCTAATGTTACCAGAGTTGCTAATGTTACCAGAGTTGCTAATGTTACCAGAGTTGCTAATGTCACCAGAGTTGCTAATGTCACCAGAGTTGCTAATGTTACCAGAATTACTAATGTTACCAGAGTTGCTAATGTTACCAGAGTTGCTAATGTTACCAGAGTTGCTAATGTTACCAGAGTTGCTAATGTTACCAGAGTTGCTAATGTTACCAGAGTTGCTAATGTTACCAGAATTACTAATGTTACCAGAGTTGCTAATGTTACCAGAGTTGCTAATGTTACCAGAGTTGCTAATGTTACCAGAGTTGCTAATGTTACCAGAGTTGCTAATGTTACCAGAGTTGCTAATGTCACCAGAGTTGCTAATGTTACCAGAGTTGCTAATGTCACCAGAGTTGCTAATGTCACCAGAGTTGCTAATGTTACCAGAGTTGCTAATGTTACCAGAGTTGCTAATGTTACCAGAGTTGCTAATGTTACCAGAGTTGCTAATGTCACCAGAGTTGCTAATGTCACCAGAGTTGCTAATGTCACCAGAGTTGCTAATGTTACCAGAGTTGCTAATGTTACCAGAGTTGCTAATGTTACCAGAGTTGCTAATGTTACCAGAGTTGCTAATGTTACCAGAGTTTGTAGTGACTATCAGGCTGGTGTCTGCTTCAACCCCAGGCAACACAGTGTGTCCATTGAGAAATCACGCTTTGCCCAGGCAACACTGTCTGCATTGATTATGTATGCCACACAGATTGATTCACATATTGCTCGGTACTAGTTTTTAATGTCTGACACTATATTAAAAATATTCAGGGAAAGTTACTCTAACATTTTTACTTGTTAACAAGTGCTTCTTTGCACATTTAGTACAAAATTATCAGATTCTTTGCATGTGTCATTTTTGGATGGTCAGTTTTCCAGCTCCATCTTTGACCAAGGATACCAGTGTTCAGAACACAAGTACAGGCTGCAACATGCACCTTTCTGCTCCAGAATTGTTTCAGTCAGATGCTTTTAATTCTGGTGATAAAAACGTCAGTTATTCAGAAAGTGATTCGACCTCGAATTGACTTCAGCGGCAGCCGAATGGTCAGCTGATAGAGAATCTAGCGGTTGTGATGTCTGACCCAAGAAGATCTGTTTCATGGGCCAGGATTTGACAGTCACCCATATTTACATCCAAAGGACTGGTTCAGACAGTACCATACTATGGCTAAGCTGCATTGAAATCACTGCATCTACAGTCTTATATAACTGAACATATATTTTGTATAGGTCCATTTTTTTGGGCCAATTTTTTCCTTTCAAATTTTGTTCAGCACGCCAAAAGAACCTATAGCCTCCTAGAGATAAAGAAACTCAAAAACTTATCATAACTTTAGAAATTGTTAGGAAATTGAACAAATCAAAAATGTTATTCTCAATTCTGGATATTTACTGCTTTTGTGGCTGCAATACCGTGTCAAGTGAAGAATTATTTTACAAGATTTTGTCTTTGTAAACATAACACCTGCTGAGTTCTTTTTTTTTTTAAATTACTGTAAAAACATTAAGTATTGACATATCATTCAACTTCAAAATGTATCTCTTTGAGAGAGAGATATATATACATATACACATAGACACACACACACAGTGTTTTACGTGTACAGGGTCTAGAAATTCATTACATGATCTATTTTTCACCAACCCCTCAGTCGTTTGTGTCAAGGGAGGTTAATGTGAGCCAAGTTCTTTAAAATTGATGGACCTGAAAGAGTTTATGGAAACTTGTATGTTTTTGGCAGAACCAAGCTCAGCCCAGTATATTTGTGTAGGTATAAAACATTCTTCAGTCATGTTGGTGAGATTACTGCAGTCAACATGATAGTGTTGACAGATGACATCACTGTATTGGCAACAGTGTACTTATGACTGTACTATATGTGTCTTACAGTGTCCAAATGATTGCATTACTGTGTGGGAAATGGTGATAAAACTGCAACATTATGTGCAGCTGTATTATTGTGTGGGTGACTTTAGAATGGCTGTATCAGTGTGTGGGTGACTTTAAAGTAGCTGCTCATTGTGTGGGTGATTTTAAAGTAGCTGCATCAATGTGTGGGTGACCTTAAAGTGGCTGCATCAGTATGTGCGTGACTTTTAAGTGGCTGCATCATTGTGTGGATGACTTTAAAATGGCTGCATTAGTGTGTGGATGACTTTAAAAGGACTGCATCAGTCTGTGGCTGACTGTAAAATGACTGTATCAGAAAGTGGGTAGCAGTATTATGTGACTGCAACAAACTTTATAAAACTTAATTTAATGGAGTGAAAGAATAAAAAACAATCACCTCTTCCGATTCTTCTTCTTTGAGTCCTTATCCATCAAAGATGCAAAACAGCAGAGTTGATAACGAGAATGGTGAATGTTGAATAAAGAATCAACATCATGGCAATCGGGACATCCCCATTACCTTGCTGTCCCCATCTTCAGCAGCAAGCGCAGAGTTCCTATTCCAATGGCACCAGTAACAGTGTCATTGTATATCAGTCCTGCCTTTCCCTTGAGTGTGAAGCATCGACCAGACCCCCCCCCCCCTCCCGGTCACTCCTCACAGCACCATTCTCCTCTGACTGTGATGATCGCCTTATGTCTCCACACCGTTTATTTGCTCCCAGAGGACCTTTACAACATCTAACTTGTCATGCATCAGTCCACCACCAGGTGGTGCAGAAAATACCTGTCTTTACTTGTCTCAACATGTTCTGTGAGTCAGTTACAATTACAGCATTTTTGTACAGCTGACTCTCAAGCCAAGATGTTGTGTTACCATATGCCAAGCCTCTGTCTTTAGCAGTCATCATAGAGTTCCAGTTGTGATGATGCCAGATACCTGTCAGCTTGTGACATCTGAGTCAGTGTCTTGCTACTTATATAAGAGCATCTTTCTAAATCTTCCTTTACAATTCTTGTGTAACTTCCAATCAAATGTTGGGTCAAAAGGTGAGGATATCACAGCCTAGCTGTAAACTGCAACACAGTGTGCCAACAGCCTTTAAAGGTGAATACAGAAGAACAGAAAGTCTAGTGCTCCATTCCTGTGTAATCCTGGTGATATCATGGTTGGTTGTAATCCAGTCCAGCACTTTTGGCGTCTGTCAACATTCCTCTTAGTGTTTCACCTGGACATCATCGTTTCCCATTTCATTGTCTGTTTTGTGACTCTCTGTCCATGTCTACTCATGATATGCCCAACATATTGTTGTCATCTTTGCCTGACAACTGTTGGTAACAGTTGTTGTGTGCAGTTGTTGTGTGCAGTTGTTGTGTACAGTTGTTGTGTGCAGTTGTTCTTATTAATGAAGTATTCATCATGATCACCAGCTGAAACTGCTTCTGTTAAGTCTGTGTTGGTGGCAGTTTGTGGAACAATGCTTGGTGTGTAGCACTGACTGTTGCCGTCCCATTTGGATTCAGAGTGTCTGTCTTCTTCTTCTTCTTCTTCGATCCTTCTGTCAGAAAACTTATATCAGGAGGCCGGTAGCCTTTATGAAAGCTATTGTTCAATCCATATCCTCTCGTGTACCATACAGTTTTGTCTTCAGTGTGGTTGGAACAGGCCAGATTACGTCTCTGTTGTCAGCATACAGTTGACAGTGTTGGAGCACATGCTCAGCATTTTCGGGTGCCACGCTGCAGGGACACGTCTCCGTATTTCCTACACCGAAAAATTTTAACATATGTTGACGAAATCTGTTGTGCCCAGTCCTTAGTCTGAATATAATACACTGTCCCTCTCTAGAGGGGCGATGAAGTGAGTCTTGGAAAAAAAATCTGGTGTGGGTAACCAGCCACCTCTCTTGGATACTAGATTGTATTAATGTTTTCGTCACTTGGTGGGTTAAGTCGCTATTTGGTTGTACCATGTCACTGCCGCTTCTGGCCAATCTGTCCGCTATTTAATTGCCTTCCATGCAGTACAGATTGTTCTACTGAAGAGCCTAAGTAAATCAGCTGTTGCGTCAAGTCTACAAACTGAGTGTCTTTTGGGTTAACAATTGCTTGTAGACCTGACATAGCATCAGTCAGAAAGACCACTCTGATATATTTGCTGTGCTGTTGTCCATTCAGGAAAGAACATGCCGCTAGAAGTGCTTCTGCCTCTGCTCTGTAATTGGAGGAATATGAACCTGTTGGTACAGCCTGGTTGATTTTTAAACCATTTGGGCATTCTATGTATATTCCTACTCTTAGTCTCTTACTGCTCTCTTGGCTGAACCATCTGTATACACTCGAATCCAACTCTGGTGTGGATAAAGTCTATTGATCTCTCCTTCTGTAGTTGATTTCATATCAATGCTGAAATATGAGTGTCTGTGATATCATCGCTGGTGGGAAGGCTGACTACA